AAAGCAGGATCACATACGTCCGGCTCACGTTCTTGTCAGACACCACACGCTCAAAGTTGTCTCGAGGAGCACCAGTGTACTGGATTTGACATTGGAGCTGACACGAGCCGAGCACATGATACAGACAACGGAGAGAAGTGCAGAAGGAGAGAGGAGGGAAGGGGAGCAGAGCAGACGAAGAGGAGAGGAGACAGGATCGGGGCGTGCAGAAAGAAGGACAAGTGGAGGACGAAGAGGAACAAGAGGAGACACAATGAAGAAGAGGAAAGACGGCATCTTTACCTCCTCCACCAGGCTCTTTGCCTCCAACATCGCCATGTCAATCACTTCCTGGGCCTTTGCCTCCAGGTGTCGACTCGCTTCTTCCTCCTGTCCTCCAGTATGAGCTTGTGAGATACTCTCCTTGCCCCTCCTCCCACAACTGCTCCTCTTCCCCACTTCCCTCCCTTCCTCCCCGTCTCCTCCTCTTGATCCTCCACATCCCCTTCCGCCCTCGCCGTCTCCTCCTCCTCTTCCTCCTCCCTCTCTAATGTCCGACCTTCATCCGTTTGGCTATAGCGCTGTCCTCCTGTATCCGATGGTCGACCTGCCGTCGAGCTGTCAGGATGGCAGGAAAGAGGAGGAGAAGAGGAGGGAGAAGTGGAGGGAGAAGTGGAGGAGGGGATGGAGGGGAGAAGAGGAGGGGAAAGAAAGGATGGACGCAGAGGAGGAAGGAGTGGATAGAGGGAGATCAGGTAGTGAAGTCAATATTCCATACCTTTGCCCGTTTCCTCTGCTCCGTCGCTTTCATGAGAGCTTTTTCAGCTCTTCTCTGCGGTGAGTGATCAGAATCCTCCTCCTCTCCCCTCCTCCTGCTCCTCCCCCCCTCCCCCTCCCCTCTTTCTTCGTGCTCGTGCTCGTGCTCGTGCTCGTGCTCGTGCTCTCCTCTCCCTCCTCCTCCCCCCCCCCTTCCCTCCTCCCTCTCCCCGCCTTGTCTCACCTGCTCCAACCCCAGCTGCTCCAGCCTCTCAGCTCTGCTCCCCCTGAGCTCTTCCAGCTCTTTCGCCTCCTCCTCCTTCGCCTCGTCCATCCGCCCCACCAGCGCCTCCACCTCCCGCTGCACCAGCACCACCTCCCTGCTCTCAGCTCGTCAGAGCGGACCAGGTGGACCCCACCTGACCCACAGCTCAACTTTGGCGCAAACTTCCGCGGCAATCTCGTGCGCCGTGTCCATGACGATCTTCTTGTGCTGCTCTGAGCTGAAAACTTGCGACCCCTTCCCATCCTGCCACCGGGTGAGCCGATCAGCAGGAGTCCAGCTGGGGTTTCACCTTCGACTCGATCTCTAACACCTCCTGCCTCGCCGTCGCCAGGATCCTCGTGGCCTTCGCCTTCGCTTCCTGATGATTCTGCTCCACCTGCCGCACACCATTGGCATCCTCCTCCCCCACTCGTCTTCCTCCTCGTCCTGCTCCTTTTACTCCTCGTCCTTGTCCTCCTCGTCCTGCTTCCTTCCTCCTCCCTCCTTTCTCCACGTCCTCGTCCTGGACCTCGACTCATCCAAGACTTCGTAATCCTGCCTCCCGCTCCTCGCCCTTGTCCTTGTCCTTGTGCACTCCAGTCTCCCATCCCTTCTTACCTCTTCCTCTTTCCTAACCCTCGTCTCCTTTCCCAACCCTCCTCCTCCACCTCCTCCTCCTCCTCCTCCTCTCCCTCTTCCTCCCCTCCTCTTCCTCATCCTCCTCTCCCTCTCCCTCCTCTTCCTCTCCCTCTCCCTCCTCTTCCTCTTCCTCCTCCTCTTTGCCCTCCACCCCTACCTCACAGAGCCTTCGCCTCTTCTCGTTCAGTAGCTCCTCCAGCTCCTTCTTCTTGTGCCTGTGCCGCTGCTGGCACTCCAAGATCTTCATCTGGAGCTCATCCTGCGCCTCACATCAGCTGACAAACAGCTGGACTCTTGCTGGGAAACCTTCAACGAATGCAAGCTCTGGGTCACGGCGCTGCACTCCCTCTCCGCCTCCTCCAGCTGCTCATTCGCCTCCTCGTTCGCTACTGCCAGCAACTCCCTCGCCCTCTCCAGCTCCTCCCCAGCTCGAGCTCGCTGTCTGCAAGAGCTGGTCAGCCGCAGCTGGAGGCTGGCTTCCACCTACATCGCCGCTTCCTCCAGCAACGACTCCGCCAGCCTCTTCGCCGTCTTGCGCTGGAACTCGGCCTTGAAGATCACCTCCTCCTGCAGCTGGAGGGTTGCTGGGGGTCAACCGGGGAGCACAAGTCGGGCCAACCCTCACCTTGGCGTTCTCTGCGATGATCTCCTGCAGGTGGAGCAGCTTGCTGGCTCGAGCTGACTGGCGGGAGAGGGTCAGAGAAGAAGGGGAGGAGGAGGAAGAGAAGCAGCAGCAGCAGCAGCAGCAGCAGTTGAACGGACCTGAGCTGCCTTGATCTCTTCGTCGAGCTGCAGCTCGAGCTGCTGCCGGTGAAATTTGAGGTCGGAAAATTTCTGTTCAGCAGCCTGCAAGGAGAGGTTGTGCTGCTCCTGCGGGGGAGAGGTAAGAGGTAAGAGGTAAGAGGTAAGCACAAGAAAGGAGAGATGATCCGAGGATTAGGAAGAAAGAGGATGGTAAAGAACAGGAGGGGGAGGGTTAGAGGAAGAGGAGCAACTTTGAGATGAAAGGCGAAGGCAAGGAGGAGAGGACAGGAGGGTGGAAGAGGAGGAGGAGAGGACAGGAGGGAGGAGGAGGAGGAGGAGGAGGAGGCGAGGACAGGAGGGAGGAAGAGGAGGAGGCGAGGGAGATAATATACCTGAAGTAGCTGGAAGGCCTCATCTCGCGCCTTCTTCTGCGCTAGCGCCTTGTTCCTCGCCTTCTCGATCAGCTGGTCCCTCCTGCTGAAGCTGAACAGCTCCCCCTGCCAAGATTTCTCAGCTCTCAAGAAGAGCCCAGCTGCTCCCCAGCAGGCTGGCTCACATGGTTCTCGAACTGCTGCTTGGCAGCCAGCTCGGCAAAGATGGAGGTCAGCTGGAGGAGGAGGGACGGGTCCTTGGAGCCCAGCCCGGACCCCTCCAGCACGCTGTGTGCTGACCTGTACACCCTGTTGACGACGCTCTGCTGGTCAGCCGGATCAGTGAGCCCTGCGGCCACAAGCGCCGGTTTGACACCGTCGAGCAGCTGGGGTATCAGTTCGAAGCTCTCCTGTTCGATCAGCTGCTGGAGCTCTGCCTCGTACCGGCCGCCGAGGGCATCGCAGAGCCTCTCCTGCCTCCTCCTCTGCAGCCTCTTCCTCCCAATCCTCCTCCTTGTACTGCACTGAATCGTCAACGCCGCTGCGGAGCGAGCGGCTGCTGCTGCCCGGGCAGACGTGATCGCATTCCTCGCTAGCTTGCATCGCATCGAGCAGGCAAGGAGGAGAATCGCTCCTGAACGCTCTCGGTACCACTCCTCCTGTGCCTTCATCTTAAGTACTTCGCGCCTTCTTCTCAGATCTCTCCGAGCATGGTGGCTCCTGACCCCTCGCTGCAGAACACAGGCCCCTTCATCCTCAGCCTCCCGCCTTGCCTGCTCCTCCTCTGCCGCCGCCTTCTTCGCTGCTGATCGCTCTGCCTCAGCTGCTGCCCGTCGCTTCCTCGCAAGGTGACATCGGATACTTCCTTGGAGTACAAGCCCTGCTTGCTCCCGCCTTGTCTGCTCCTGCTGCTCGGCCTCCCGCCTTGCCTGCTCCTCCTCTGCCGCCGCCTTCTTCGCTGCTGATTGCTCTGCCTCAGCTGCTGCCCGTCGCTTCCTCGCAAGGTGACATCGGATACTTCCTTGGAGTACAAGCCCTGCTTGCTCCCGCTTTGTCTGCTCCTGCTGCTCCGCAACTTGCTCCTGCTGCTCCGCAACTTGCTCCTGCTGCTCCGCAACTTGCTCCTGCTGCTCGGCCTCCCGCCTTGCCTGCTCCTCCTCTGCCGCCGCCTTCTTCGCTGCTGATCGCTCTGCCTCAGCTGCTGCCCGTCGCTTCCTCGCAAGGTGACATCGGATACTTCCTTGGAGTACAAGCCCTGCTTGCTCCCGCCTTGTCTGCTCCTGCTGCTCCGCAACTTGCTCCTGCTGCTCCGCAACTTGCTCCTGCTGCTCGGCCTCCCGCCTTGCCTGCTCCTCCTCTGCCGCCGCCTTCTTCGCTGCTGATCGCTCTGCCTCAGCTGCTGCCCGTCGCTTCCTCGCAAGGTGACATCGGATACTTCCTTGGAGTACAAGCCCTGCTTGCTCCCGCCTTGTCTGCTCCTGCTGCTCGGCCTCCCGCCTTGCCTGCTCCTGCTGCTCAGCCTCCCGCCTTGCCTGCTCCTGCTGCTCGGCCTCCCGCCTTGCCTGCTCCTCCTCTGCCGCCGCCTTCTTCGCTGCTGATCGCTCTGCCTCAGCTGCTGCCCGTCGCTTCCTCGCAAGGTGACATCGGATACTTCCTTGGAGTACAAGCCCTGCTTGCTCCCGCCTTGCCTGCTCCTGCTGCTCGGCCTCCCGCCTTGCTTGCTCTAGTGGGCGGACGAGGTCTTTGGGTTCCTGCGGAGGCGGGTCGGCATGAGAGATGGGGAGGGGGAGCGGTACAGCAGCCTGTGACATCCGCCATCCTCGGAAGAAATGGAAGGCTCGCATGGCCTTCAGGTGCTTCTGTAGGGTCACAGCTGCCTTGTTGATCGTCACTGCCTGCAGGAGCGTCTCGTCGTCTAAGGAGGACGACTCCAAGTCCTTGAGCAGGTACGTGAGGGCCCGGCTCACTTTGTCGTCCATGCCCTGTAAGATGCTTGACTCCCGCTGGAAGGACGTCTCGCTGTCAGTTCTCTTTGAGAGGAAACTGCTCTCTAACGCCACTTGCTGATCCTGCTGCTGCTGCTTCTGATCCTGCTGCTGCTGCTTGCAAGAGTAAGTCAGTGTGCCTTGCAATCTATGGGGCAACAGACCAGGTTTCCAACAGTCTGCATAACATTGGCCTTCATTGTCTTGGAAGCATTCTGAAACCAGAGCGAGTCATTCTTTCACAGCGCTACAAGTCACATACAGCAATCTCCTCCACGAGCTTCCGGATCTCTTCGGCCTGGTACCTCTGTTCCTGCGGGTCAACCCAGGCTCTCCTGGCCACCCTCGTCACCCTTGGACTCTGTTGGACCCTCGGGGCCCTGGGTGCCTGCTGGACTACCGAGGCTGGGTTTTGCCATGGCTGCGGGTTGTAAAAGTTGCTGTAACCCTTGGGGTCGTTGTCTCGAGAGGGGCTGCGAGGCCTCGTCCTCCTCCTCTGCTGGATAGAGTCGTCTGCTAACACCCTCGACCTCCTCGGAGCCTCCTCCTGTCTGCTAGGATACTACAGGCACGTCAGCATTCTCAGCCGCAGAGGCAGCAAGAGCAAACCGCGCTCGAGTCCGTCATCGTGTCTCGGTATGACACTCGCTCCGGTTGAGAGCGCCTGACCCCCCTCACTGGAGGCCTCTTCTGCGATCGCAGGACTGGCAGGACCACTCGCTCCTCCGCCTGCGCCCCTTCATCGTTCATGAGCCTGTCAATCCTTGCGGTGATACTGGCAACCGTCTCCCTCCGGTCCAACACTTGCTCATACGGCAACTGTTTCCTCAGGGGCAAACTGCCTTGCTCGTATGTGTAGCTTTCAACATTCATCGTGTGGAAATCAAATCATACACTCAACGAATGTCTGCCCATCGCCTCCAGCTCAGAATCTGCTTTGGCGCAGTCAGGTGTGAGTCAGGTGTGAGTCAAGCTATCGATCACTATTTTCCATAACCAGTCTTCAGCTTCCCCTTACTCTTGACTTGTCTCTCATCACTTGTAAGTGTTTACACTTTGCCCTCTTTCCTAATCCTCTCGCCTTTCTCCTCATCCTCTCTCTTTTCTCCATTCCGCTCTCTCTCCCATTGTCCTCTCTCCCTCCCTCCCTCTCTCAACCCTCGCCCCCAACCTCTGCGTCGCACCTCCCCTCAACTCTTCTCCCCCCCCACAAACCACTTTTCCTATATTCTTTCCTCTCCTCCTCCCTCCGCCTTCCTCCCTCCTCCCTCCTCCCTCTCCTCCCTCTCCTCCCTCTCCTCCCTCCCCTCCCTCCCCTCCCTCACGCTCTCCTCACACTCAGGCCTATCCTGTTGCTCTAACGCTCGCAGGTCAAAACGTGACAACCGCCCAGCAACCGCCCGGCAACCGCGATCGTCCGGTCCGGGCCCGCCCCCGGGCCCCCGGGCCCCCGGGCCCCCGGGCCCGCCCAGTCGCTGGGTCACTTTGTCGCCTCTCTGTCACGACCCTCGTTCCAAATTTGTACTTCAACAGGGGGTGGGGGGTCCGGAGGTGAAGTACAACCCCCCTTATTTGACTTCAATTGTCTGTTGAAATCACGGGTAGTGAGGTCCCAGTTCCGTACCCCACCCCTGCTTTGACCGCCAACGACTATGAACCCCATCGTTGAACTTCTTGCTGAACTTCAAGGGTACTGCTGACCCTTCGACCACCCCCCCTCGTCAGCTGCGACCACCCCTGTTTACTACCACCCCTCCTCCTTACCTAGAATTTACACCACCCCCCAGTTATACTCGGGTCATTGAATCGGATTCACTTCCCCTACCTCACCACCCCCATGTTTGATAGGAATCCATCACCCCACCCCCTATTTTTACTGAGTTTCACCCCACCTTCTGACACCTGCACTGTCTCACTACACTACCACCACCCTACATCGTTATGCATCTTTGACAATTGGCCATGGCGTGAAAATGAACAGCGGACCGTCGCCGCCGCCTCCTCCTCCTCCTCTGCGCGTCTGACATGATGAACATGAGGGGCGGAGATGAGCTTTGATGGAGCTCAAGATTCTTGTCGTGTAGAGGAGGAGGAGGAGCAGGAGAGTGGAGCAAGCATAGCCTCCGGCGATACGCGTTTTTGTTCACGGAAGTTCAAGTTGCAGGGAAAAGAGTGGGAAAGGTATGATGAGGAGCTGCTAAGTAGATCAGAGGATAGCAGAAGAGCGAATTAGGTTACTGACTTGGACGATGTGTGACTTTATCGATGAATGTAGGCTAGAAGAAGATAGCTTCTGTCTTCATTCAGATCGCTCTTTTTTCCTTGTTCATAGCACTTCACTGTCCTGACCTGAGGACGGAAGATAGAAGTTGGTAACCGCAAGTTCTTACAGCACAACTCTGATCAGCACAATAGATCTCTATGGATCTCAACCCAGTGATGATATTATGACGTCTGAGCAGCGATGTGCAAGACGCATGTTTTGACATGTTGTGCCAGGACCTATGCAACGGCTTGATACACAGCAGCTACACAGGGTTACCATTAGATGATCTACTTGATGAATCACGATCACGATTTTGCAAAGCTTAGCTTTGGAAAGGATTTGGTGAATCGGAGCAAGGAGATTTCATTAGCAGGCCCCAATGACCTCTATGGATCACACGTTTCCTCGACCAGAACGAGAGGTGAGCGTCTGAGTGCGTTGTTGTTGAGCAGAACGACCTTACGAACATCTCGCAGAGAATGATGATCTGGTCTCCAAATTTTTGCAGCTGCAAGAAGACACGGCGAAACGAATCAGTGCGATGGGATCAACCCCTCGCAGTGTCACTGACAAGTTCTCACGGGACGTGTCATGGTCTCATTCATCTGCGCAACCCCCATGGACCAGTCTCAGTCTCCCTGCTTCTCCAGGAGCCCTCCACACCGGACGATCGTACTCCTTGAAGCCACCTATGGAAGCGGAAGGGATCGCAAGGACTGATCCATCGAGGCAGAGTTTTCAGGGGTCAATCTCGTCGCCAGGTAGACCTGGGAATTGGGATGTGGAGGCTGAGCGACAGCGATCGATGCAGCTCAGTGCGCGTCAGGGGGAATGGAATGGCTCTCCGGGATCCGCAAGAAGGCAAGATGGTATGAAGCAGCAGGAGAACGGCGGATACATGACGTCCCGTTCTCAACACCTGTTGCAGCTCCACGCAAAGGAGTCTGTCTTGTCGCCCGAGAAATCACCTCTCAAACTCCATTACTCTGCAACACCTCAGACGAATTCTTACGAATCAGAAATCAGATTCTCGCAGTTGCTTCACGTTGGATTGAGGGAGAATCATGGCAATGGAAGTGGTCATACCCCTGCGTCAGACTCATCGCTTGTATCGAGGCGAGGAGACTTCAATGGGCATGAAAGGAGTGGAGGGATGCTGAATGGACACTCTAATGGGCCTGAAGTGCTAGGAGAGATTTCCCAAGATGAACTAAGTGATCCCTTGTCGAGAGAAGCATCAACTAGCTCCTCACAGGTTCATTGTGTTCTCGTTCACGTCGATGACGTTGACGACTTGTTCAAGGGCATTCCAAAAGAGAAGACTGGATCAATCCCTTCAATCAACGGTCAAGTGCATGAGAAGAAGTCCTCGAATCAACTTCAATCTTTGAGGCGCACCAATCAGTAAGTTTTTTGACATCTCACTGTCGTGACTAAGGGCAAATGGCAGAAATCTCTTTCCACTGGACGTTACGGGAGGACTGGAAAAGTCAGAAGACAGAGTTTCTGCTTTGAATGTCTCCCTTGATGCGAGCGAGAAGGAATCTTGGCCGTTGCATGTGCGGAGGAGAAAGGAAAGCGTGCAAGGACTGATTCCTGTTGCAGAGGGTCTCGATCAGCAAGGAATCGCAAGAGTGGGAGCGAACTACAGGTCTGAAAGTCATGGCAACTTTTTTGTCATTTTCACATCATTGCAGATGATGGTTCAGGTTCCTTCCGCTCCTCCGACAAGTCGCAGGTGGCAAAACGCTTTCCGTTGGGCAGTCAGATTCTCAACAACCTCAACCTTGCAGGTCAACAGGACGTCGAGTAGTGCGGCGAGGAAGAAAGTCATGACGTTGAAGGAAGGGCCGATCGAGAAGAAGGACGGTATCAGACTCGTCTCTGTGCCCTCTACACCTCGGCTGACTGCTAGGGCTCAGGCTCAGGCCTCGGATCCCTTGTCAACCCTTGGAGCTTGAGGAGGATGGTGCTGACGACAAACAACCTGTGCTGGTCCAAGTTCTCCCACGTCTCGTTCGACACGTACGTCGATGGAGGACAAGGTCTTGCATGCAGCCTTACAGCTGCTGGCAGATGCATCAACCTCCTCCACATCGAAGGGGTTGAGCCATCGCGGAACGGAGGGGGACAAGAGTCGTTCGACGTTGGTGAGGCTGCGGGTTGTGGTGCCATGGTCGACTCACAGGTGGTCATCCGCAGTCGTCAACGAGAAGTATGGGAAGGCGGAACGATCGAACGGGTCAAAGGTGAGGCGAGAGGCATCTGTGCTGCGTCGTTGAGCTCTTGGCAGATTTCGAGCCATCAGAAACCGAAAGCTTCTCGCTGCGCCTATACCTTCCGATGTCGATCGAAGCACAGCAAGGGGAGTCCCACGGAACGAGACATGTGGATTGCTGCGATCAGAGAGGCGATGGAAAATGCAAGAGCACGCAAAGGTCCTTCCCTTTCCCACCTCCTATCGCTCTCCACCTCCTCCTCTTCATCGCCTCCTTTCCTCTGCTTCTTTCAACTCTCAAGTTTCCGCGTCTCGCTCACTTGCCCCGATGGTCTCGTGACATCACATTGCTGTGTAGAACAAGACTCCTTCGAGCGTCGCAACTCGGAGAGGAGTAGCTCCCCACTGTCCGAGGAAGAAGATGACCACTGCTCCAAGAGACGAGAGGTAGACAGCATGAAGGTGGAGAGGAGGAGGTAACGATGTGAGCAGGAAGTTCGGTTGTGGCTGAGGCAGTCGTCGGGTGATCGTCGACTTGTTGATATCGTTTCATCTAACGTTCTCTCGTCCTCTCTACTCTCCTCTCCTCTCTCCTACCTGGCATCTCCCTGTTATCAGAGAGGAAACTGGACATCGGTATGTGCTCATGACAACTCTCTTGGATTCTCCTGAATATTATGGCAGGAGAAGTGAACAACATGGCAGGAGAAGACATAACTCCTTCGTCCATCACAGGGTACATGCCTGCGTGCTGCTGCTGCGTGCTGCTAACTGACAACTTCTACCGCGATAGGGACGACGAGCGGTCAAGCAACTGCTCTGGAGTGATACCTATCGAGGTACTGTGGGAAGAGGAACAGGAGGAGTTGGGGTGGGGGGTGAAGTGGGAAGAATGGAGGAGGCAGCAAGGGACAGAGGAAGAGGAGGAGGAGAGATGTCAGGAGGAGGGGCTGGTTCCCGGGTGACTGGGTGCAGGACGAGACTACATATCTCGAGCAACTTCTTCGCGCCACCGAGGAGAGGTTCAGTTGCCGTTCGAGTTTGACACCCCTGACAAGCCCAACAGAATGAAAGGGCACCTGAACGGTCCGATGATGATATGAAGGGAAACATTGGGCTGCTACGGCTGTGGGAGGCTTGATTGGACCGCTCAGGTTGTTGTACATGCTGTAACATAAGGGAATACGATTCAAGGTATGAATAATAATGATACAAGGGACTCGTCTATCCGAACAGGTCCCATCCAGGGCACATGAAGTTGGTGGTGAGCAAACTCTTGAAACATCTGGGAGCAGAGAGTTGGAATCACGAGAAGAGAGGAGGAGAGAAGGTGGTCTGAGCGGGAGGAGGGAGTTAGCAGAGGAGTACGCATGGGCTCGAGGGCAAGGATCATGCAGAGAGAAGGGAGCGAGAGGAGCGAGAGACATCGGGAGGTGGAGGAGCAGAGTTCACAAGCGAAGAGAAAGGAAAGGTGTGAGACGCTTACGGCTTCTTGCCGCCATTTTGGAAGATGATGTCAGGAGACTCGCAGATGGTAGGATCATTCTGCAATCCTGTGCTGCCAACAAGTGAGTTATTCGCCCTGTTTTCCCCCTCAACCCCCCTACATGCAGATGCTGTTGAGATTGAAACATCGACCAGCCTGTTCACAATGAAGGTGAGGTAGAGGAAGGGGAGAAGAATACGAGGAGGTGGTGGACAACCAGGACGAAGAAACGAGGACAAGGAGGAGCCAGCGCGGCAATGAGGAGTAGGAATACAGTACCTCCATCTTAGTCGTCACGCATGCTTCGCCTGCATTGCGATTGAGTTGGAGCATCTGAGAGTCAGGAGGGAGGGAGGATGAGTGAAGGGAACGGGCGTGAGGAGGACGGAGAGGAGGGAGGAAGAGGGGGAAGGAAGAGGAGAGATGAGAAGAGATAGGAGTGAGTCACCAGGCCATTCTGAGTCTACCCCGCATCCATTTCTGAGATAGACTCCACAATGCAACATCGGCAGCCATGACTGGGGCGGCTTGAACCAGACTCCAGACATCTGAACAGAGCCAACTCATTCAAGCATCATAGCGTAGAGAGAAAAGCAGGAGCAGGAGCAGGAGCAGGAGCAGGAGCAGGAGCAGGAGCAGGAGCAGGAGCAGGAGCAGGAGCAGCAGGAGCAGGAGCAGGAGCAGGAGCAGGAGCAGGAGCAGGAGCAGGAGCAGGAGCAGGAGCAGGAGCAGGAGCAGGAGCAGGAGCAGGAGCAGGAGCAGGAGCAGGAGCAGGAGCAGATGAAGACGATCGTGTCCTCACATATTGACCGCAGTCAACACAATCGCTCGTCGTGCACTGGTCGGACTGACATTTCTTGCAGGAGCACTGGAAATAGAACGACTCTCCCTGTGGTACATCGTCGGCATCCAATCCTATCCTGCTGGTAGCACGCTGCTAAGCTACCTGCCACTCGTCGAAGCCGAGCTTTAGGCACGTATCTGCAGGAACGAACGTGCTGTCTCCTGTACAGTAAAGGTCCGAGAACATCTGAACCTAACCAAGTCTTACTGACCGTGAACGATACACCTTCCTCTCGTGCATGACTTACGACTGTTCCTGCTGGTATCGTCATTGTCGTCGTGTTGCTTGTGTTCGTCGTCTCTCCTGCTGCCACCCCCCAGCTGACGCCCACCAGCGCCAGCAACACCCTGCCTGCCATTCCTTCCCAGTCAGTGAGCCCTCATCCCCCAAGTACCCACCTCATCCCCCTCGTACCCACCTCATCCCCCTCATGGCACTTGTTACCCTCGTCCCCGCACAGCCATCGGGACTTTTGCGGTACATGAGGCGGGCCCAGGAGGCGGCCCCCCCACCAATAACGGGAAGGGCGCAGGGGTAGATATTCTTTTTTTTTCCGAGGGGGAGGGGGGGTGGGTTGTCAAAGAGACGGAGTTGGCACAATCAGATTTTGTACTGGGCCCGTACTATTAAATCTTTGAACATAATTACTGTAATTTATCATATTAGATTTTAAATTTCAAAAATAATTAGTTGTTATTTTGTCAAATTTTGGTGAAATATCTGCCCTGCCGAAAAACGATGAATTACAGTTGAGGCCGAAACAGTTCGCTGTCCCACCGGTCACGTTTTGCCTACCGACTATTTCAACAGGGTACAAGAGCTGAACCCTGGGGTAGGGTAGTAACCCCTACCCCCTTAGGAGACTTGTGAAACGTCATCCTTTTAGATACGATTAACACCTACCCCTAGCAACATTCCCAATGACTTTTTGAACCACCCCTGCAAAGTCCTGTGACTACATTAGAGTGAACCCACCTCGATTCATTCTCAAGATTTTGCTACCCCTTCATTTATACCACCCCCTAAATGCTTCCGTCCACCCCTAGCTGCTTCAGGGTAAATGCCGAATTCACCGCTACCCCCCCTAGTGCATCCAGGGGTAGGGGTAGAGCGATTGGGTCTCTGTCCCTGAATACCATGGCTTTGCGTCCAGGACCCGCTTCGCACGCGATGCCGTTCGTCAATGCAGGCGCCACAGATCTTGTCGTCCATGCCATCAAATCATGGATATGCACCCTCTTCAATCCAAGAGAAGTGCAGACAAAACAACAAGAATGAGCATTCTTTGTCGGCTTTACTTTTCTTTTTGATTTGCTTTTGAATCGGGGAAGTTCGTCGATCGCGAGAGTCAATGTCACATGAGTCCGCGTGAATTGCTTCCAGCTCTTTTTCTAGAGAGAATTGTTGCTCTATGATGTTCTCTCTTCTCGAGAATTCAAGTGATCAGAATTGTAACAACACTGTTGTTTTTCGTGTCATTTTTCAGATGGAGGAACGGGCTCACAGAACGAACAGCCCAATCAAGGATACTTCATGAGAATGAGCATCTTTGTCACATTCAAGTTCACCGTCGCATACAAGGGATGCCGTCGTTGGTATAGTTTGATATTTTGTCATTCGAATGGGGCTTGGGAATGATGGGGATGGATGTAGGAATGTTTGTAGATAACTACATGATAAGAATTCATTTAATGAAAGCTCAGAAATTGGTTCCAGCCAACGCATGAAGCGGATGTCTAGTACTTTTGCTTCAACACTTTGATTTCACAAAGAAGTCAAACTTGCATCTTTGTTGGTGGTGGGGTATCTTAAACTCCAAACAGTTGTGCCATCCCAACTTGTATACACTTGATGCCATATCACTCGTACTTGAGGAATCCATACAGGAACAGGAGGAGGAGGAGGAGGAGGAGGAGGAGGAGGAGGCTGAGGCGGAGCAGGAGCAGGAGCAGGAGCAGGAGCAGGAGCAGCAGGAGCAGCAGGAGCAGGAGCAGGAGCAGGAGCAGGAGCAGGAGCAGGAGGAGGAGCAGGAGCAGGAGCAGCAGGAGCAGGAGCAGGAGCAGGAGCAGGAGCAGGAGCAGGAGGAGGAGGAGCAGGAGGATTGGCAGTAAAAAATGTGGGATCCAGACCATCACAATCAAGTCGTGGGTCCGCCTCATCGATATATCCCACCCCCTTGTTTGGATTCAGAAGTGTAGATAGGTAGGGGTGGGTTAAAATCACCCCGCTCCACGAACTCAACTATGCCGGACCAGCCGACAGATCCAGGTGACGGGAAGGAGGAGAAATGGAAGGAGAGGATGAGAAGAGAAGAGAAGAAAAGAGAAAGATGCCTGAAGGATGAGAGGACAGGACAGGGCATGAAAGGACAGAGGCATGGTGAGATAGGCAGCAGGCATGGACAAGACAAATTTGCGGTAAAAGCCTTGTGGAAAGGTTACCCTGTCAATTACAGTCCTTCCGAGATACTGGACAAGAGAAAATTTGGACATTGTAGCTTACTTAGCCATGTCAGCCAGGACGAGGCTATTGGCGTATCAGATAGAAAAGTTTTAAGTGTGCAAAAATCATCTCCATTAATGCGTTAAATTTGCCACAGGCACAGCAGTGCTGGAGGGCAGCGATGTTGTATTCCCAACGCGTATCATGAACGAGCATCTGATATGCTCCTTATGTATGCTTTGAAGACAGAGGTTTGTCGCAAGATGACTTTTCAAACAGGCATGGGGTACTTGAGAGATGCGATGACAGTGACAGAGTGCTTGCATACCTGTAAGCATTTTGATCACTTTAAGGATCTTTCCTGACATTGTCATGCAGTTTGCAAGCCTTGCATCATGCAGCATTTTTCTGAGTACCTCACTTGTCCGACTTGTGAGAAGGACTTGGGTCCAGCTCCTCATGAGAAAGTGAGGTGAGAAAGAAGAGCAGCACAGTTTTCACTCATAGCAGGAGGCGCCTTCTCGTGATCCTTGATCATGACAGGACCGATCGCGCCATGCAGAACATTGTAGACAAAGTTTTCCCTCATTTTGCGAAGGAGGAGAGTGGTAAGGATTGCGCTCCCTTGTTTCCATGTCAGGTCTGAGTTAGCCTGCAGTGGGCGAGAAGAGCATTCAGAGAGAAGCAGAGGCAGGCACCAAGGCACGAGAAGAAACTTCAGCTGAGTCCGGTCATATATCCTCGTGCATGCTGATGCTGTGAAGCTGAAAATGTCTTTCAAAGAGGCCAAGAGGAGGAAAGTGGCAAGCAAAGTGGCCATGAAGAAGAAAATGCAGCAGACGCAGAAGAACTCTGAGGGAGGAAACAAGAAGTTGTGTCTATCCTTGTTTCCACAGGAGGAAAGCACCAAGCCCTTGCCAAAGCTGCTGAAGCCCTACTTGCGGTCTTATCTAACTCACACAAACTTTTAAGTCGCTAACCTGCTTTCAGGTCGTCTGTGGAGGCCACAGTCAAACAGTACAAAAATTATCTCTGCAGCAAGCTGAAACAAGATCACAACTACGAGGTTGCAGCAGTAGATGTAAGTTCCTCTCGTTCCCATCTTTTCCTTCTCTTCATCTCCCTCTCTTCTCCTTGACCTTAATCAGGCACCGCACTAACTCCCTGGTTACAGATCGAGATTCTCTGCCGTGGGGCTCCGCTTAAGAACGATCTCTCCCTCAAGACCGTGTGGAGCGACTGCTGGAACAGTACCAGCGATCTTGAGCTCACATATCTGCTCAAAACTTGAGGCTGGGGCAAGCTCCGCTCCCTCTCCCCCCCTGTTTCAGTATTTCTATGCCTTTCTACACGTAAAACTAGTTTAGAAACCCCCTCATCACTTGTAAGGAACCAGCGCCCTGGCTCGCCAGAAGTCCGACCAGTGTCCACGAGCTCCCACCATCCCTGGCGCTCCCTGAGCCCCGTGACCTCCGTCGTGCCCGATAGTTCCGACAGGTCCCGGAGGCCCTTGTGCTCCTGCCCAAGGTTGTCAGGGCCACGTCGCCGGCACAGCGAGGTCAGAACTTACCCGAAGCGCCGGACGTGCCCACCACACCGAAGGCTCCTGCAGTTCCAGGAGTGCCTGTGAAGAGGAGCGATGAGACTGGATGACGGAAAGGGGGAGGGGGGGGGACCTGGAGTTCCGCTCGCGCCGGCACCTCCTGACGTCCCCTGAACTCCGGTAGAACCAGCGATCCCAACATTGCCCTGGCATGATCATCAGCTCCTCACATGGCCCGTTACTTCCTCCTCCATCTCACCTGGGGCCCAACAGCTCCAGCAACTCCTGCACAAGAGACAGGGCCATGAGCAAGAGTGCAAGCACAGCAAGCTTGTACTGACCCGTCTGACCAGGAGGTCCCGGCGATCCCACCTGCCCGTCTTGTCCGGACACTCCTGGGGCACCCGGGGGCCCGGGACGTCCTGGAATGTCGTGAGGCAAATCAGCACAGATTGTCAGCTAGTACCCGCAATGCCCGGAACGCCGTTGTTCCCCCGTGGGCCCGGGATTCCCGAAGCTCCTGGCAAGCCTACATGGCCCTCCTTGCCAGCGATCCCGTGACGTCCGGGAGCACCGGGGAAGCCTTGGTACCCCATGGGGCCCATGGGTCCTGCAGCCAGCGAGGAGGAGCAGCGTTCAGTGAGACCGGGCGCTGGGTCGAACAGTTGCGAGTCTACCTGGAGGGCCGATGGGGCCGGTTACCGACCTTCCTTGCATCCCCCTGGGTCCCTCGTCCCCGCTTGCTCCCTCCTCGCCAGTCAGCAGGGATGAAGCAGAGCGACAGGAGGCAGCGATGTACCTTCCGTCCTCGCAGCCCAGTCTCTCCATTGCGTCCAGAAATGCCCGGCACACCCGGCGCACCATCCCTTCGGACAACTTTCAGAGTTCACACGTGTCAGTCGCATCCTCAACTACCGTCCGGGTGGCCCTTGCGCGCCAGGAACGCCGACCTCTCCGCTCATGCCAGTGCTACCTTGAGAACCACGGGGACCAAACCTTCCAGGCAGACCTGGAGGAGCAAGCGGTGAGAGGCTGACCAAAAATCGCCGAGGGAGAGCGACAGTTGACCGACAGGCCATCCCATGCGATCACACAGACATCGATGACTTGCAGACTCGCTCACCATCTTGTCCGCGGAAGCCCATGGGGCCCATGGGGCCTGGTGGCCCTGGAGAACCAAACCTTCCTTCCCTGCCCGGAGATCCCCTCTGGCCCAAGGGGCCAGGTGAGTTCAGAAACTTGGACACGGATCGGCGAAGCTTGTCGACGCGATAAGAATCGTCCTTGAGAGCATGAACCTGCCACTTCCTTCAACTCAAGAGCATGAGGTCAATAACCCTGTACCTGCAGCTTCTGTCGCTCTATGGATTGCTTCAGCCCCTTACCGACCTCCTCTTCGTTCTTCTGGAAGGAGGAGATCTTGGTTTTGAGCTTCTTCAGGATTGCCTGGACATGTTGAAGCTCAGCAGCCACAGGAGGAACGGGCTGGTTGATGACTGTGACGATAGTTCTCCTCTTCGCGCCATGTTCCTGGCTGTCGTCGCTCACCGACGCTGCTTCGGGGGCAGCATCATCGGCAGTCTTGTCTTCCGACGAGTCAAGCAGAGAAGGCGAGGGGAGAGAGCGGGATTGGGACAGAACAATTAGAGCTAGGAGAGCAGGTGCGAGGAGGAGGAGGAGACACGCTTGTCTCCTCCCCTTCCCTTCCGTCCTTCCTTCCACTACAGTCATACTCTATGCATCGCGCCCCTTCGCAAACCACCCTACCCTTGTACTTTGCAATTGTAAACACTCCTACCTCTGAATATGACATGTTCAACAGTGCAAATCACCCCACCCTTCTGTACCCCCACCCCCTCCGTTTCATCTAAATTCTCGAAACCTCATCCCCGTACTTGGCCCACCAGAAACAAACCCCCCTCAGAATCCCGATGCGAATCCCCTACACACAAACATAGTTCTCCTCCTCCTCCTCCTCTTCCTCCTCCTCCTCCTCCTCCTCCCCTCCCTTCACCTCCTCGTCCTCCTCCTTGCCTTCAAACTGCCCGTCGTGCCAGGCTTTCCGGTCCTGCTTGTACGTTGGTGGGTTCGATCGCATCTCCGATCGTCTCTCGTCTGACGCTTGCTTCAACACATTTTGAGGCTGAGGGTGCATATGATTGCTGCTCAGAGCGGCCTCAGCGAAGCTAAGACAGCTCCTGTGCCCAAGTCTTAGACGGCTGCTGTGCCCAAGTGTTTCGTTTCTCCGGCTCTCACGCTGGTTTAGAGGAGCAAGATGGATAGCGAGGATGTGCAGGGCTGCCAGCACTGGGGCCTCAGTGCGAAGCAGAAGCAGCAGGAGAAGTTTGGCAGGCAGCTGAGGCGAGTGGCTCTGTTTGACACGGCAGAGGCGACGAGCGCAGTGATAGGATCAGCTCGAGAGGAGCTGGGGGAGGAGAGCGTGGAGACGTGCGTGAGGTTGGGAAACAGCAACGGGAAGGTTGCGCTGCACATGGCGGCATGGCGAGGAAACGTGGAGGTCGTTCGACTGCTCCTGGAGCACCGCGCCCGCGTCGACGCCATGACGATACGAGGACAGACGGCTATGCACTTTGCAGCCGGAAAGAAGCGAGACGAAGTCGTTTCGTTGCTGCTCGACCGGTCGGCGAAGATGAAAGTGAAGACTGTGAAGGGTGAGACGCCCGTGGGACTAGCGAGTAGGATGGGAGTCTCGATGACGATCCTGGAGAGGATGGAGGAGGCGGAGGCGAAGGAGGAGGGCGAGTGGGTTGATTTCCAGCATGAGATCAAGTCTCGTCCTGCGAGGCGGGAGAAGATGGCTGAGATGGGAACGATCATCTTCAGCACGGGGATGTCGGAGGAGGACGTGGAGGAGGGCTGTGAAGGAGGGGAGAGCGGGAGCAGGATGACTGAGGAGGGAGCAGAGGAGGGAGCAGGGGAGCAGGGGGCGAACCTGGTGATTTGTCTGGTGGAGCAGCGAGGGGCAGATGCCATGAAGCTTCTGTTCGCCATGGCATGGACTTGTATGGCAAACGGGCCGCAGAGCACTTTCATGGTCGCAGGGAAGCTGGTGGATGTGCTGGTGGAGGCGGCGAGGGAGCATGGGGGCCGTGCAGTGCTCGGGGGGCTAATTGCGATGACTCGGAGCTTCAAGGTGAGAGGAGAAAGCATCTGCATTGGTTCGCTGACCCTGAGCTCGCATGCACAGCCGCCGTCCCGGAACCTCAGGAGGCAGTACAAGGTCACTTCCTCTGCCTTGCCCCTCTCGCTCAAAGTCTTGTTCCAAGGAGGTGCGGCAACGGCTCCGTCCCCCTGGCTGTTCCTTACCGCTGAACCCAGACGTGCATGAGGACTTGAAGCTCGAGAGCGAGACGGAGAGGCTGCTGCAGTCAGCGAAAACGTCGCTGAGAGGAGCAGTGGAGGAGAGAGGAGGTTCCAGCATCCTGAACCAGCTGTGTCGATGTCCTGACGTAGACCTGGTTTAGTCCTCCTCCTTGTCTCTTCCTCCTCTTCCTCCTCCCCTTCCTCCTCTTCCTTCTCTCCTCCCTGTCTTCCTCCCCTCTTCATCCTTGACACCTCGTCGTCCTCCTTGTCTCATCTTCCTCTCCTATCATCCCTCGTCCCCCTTCCCCCTGCCAGCTCTCCTCCTCTCACCTCGTGGCAGGGTTTCACTGTTGCTGTGTCGATCTCAGTCTGCCCGGCAAGACTCGACGAGGACCGAGAGAAAGTTTGGCTGAGGGAGGAGGACAAGTCGGATCTGTTCGATTTCTTCCGCAGGACGCAAAACTATCAGGAACGGGGGGGGGCGGGAAGGGCAGAGGAGGGTGACAGAGGGATCCAAGGACATGGAGAGGAAAGGGTGGGGAGTTTGCTGAAGTTGGGAGGAGGAGGAGCGTGAAGAGGAAGAGAATTCCTTCTAGTTGATGGCCTCCTTGACAGGCGGCTGTAAAAGTTGCCCGCAAGCTGGGTATCGAGGAGGTGCTGGTGAGCGCGGGTCTGATCCGCGCGATCGTTGAGTCGAGGATGTGGCAGCTTGTGGAGCAGGTGGGAGTGAGTGAGTGAGTGACTTCCTGACCTGCTCGAGGGGCAGCTGGGAGATGCGAAGGAGGAGGTCAGGCAGGCAGTGTACGAGGAGGTGAAGGGAGCGCGGTGCTGGAGGAAGGCTGTTGCCCTGCTCAAGCGCTGGGAGCTGACGGACGTCAAGTCTGACTTCTTGCTTGAGTGCGCGACTCTCGAGCTCCTCATGTCCAAGGTGACGTCCGCCGCGAGCTGGACCGCTGCTGAAGGGGCTGCAGGGGCTCAAGAGCGACGCGTGGGAGTACGTTGGAGAGAAGGAGGAGCTGGTCAGGGTGATGGAAGAAACCTACCAGGTGAAGAGGCCACAAGGTGAGCGCCAACTCCTGACACCTCCTCCATCACCTTCCTCCTCCTCCTCCTCCTCCTCCTCCTCCTCCTCCTCCACCTCCTCTTCCTTACTCCTCCTCCTCCTCCTCCTCCTCCTCCTCCTCCTCCTCCTCCTCCTCCTCCTCCTCCTCCTCCTCCTCCTCCTCCTCCTCCTTCACCTTCACCTCATCCTTCCTGTTCCCATCTGAGCAGGATGATGGGGCCGTAGGCTCGACCACCAGCGAGGTGAAGAGCGAAGAGACGCTGAGCCTGCCGGGGTCAGTTGACATCGTGTGGGTTGACACCCTGAACGAGCTGGGAAAGTGCCGTCGGTTCCTCGAGGCCATGGGTGCTGGGGAAATACTGGGCATTGACACTGAATGGAGATATCCGAGACCGTGAGCTGACCTGCCCCCCTGCTTCCCACCTGACCACCACCACCCCCTCACAGCTGCTCCCTGGTCCAGCTGGCAATCCAAGACACGGTGTATCTCCTGGACTGCGTGAAGGCTGAGGAGGATCTAGAGTTCGGGTCCTCTCTTGGGAACCTGCTGGGATGGATTTTCTCGAGGGAGTGTCAGCTGAGAAGGGTGAGAGCTCCGATCATCTCCTGTCGTGGGCCAACGATGAGCTGGGGATCAGGTGGGGTTTGCGTTCACTGGGGACGTGGAGAACCTGCAGGCCGCGTTCCCGACGCTGCGGGAGATGGAGGTGAATTGTCAGTTGCCCTGATCCTTTTCTTTCACCTGCTCTTCTCCTCCACTCCTTCCCCTTGCCCTCCTTTCCTCCTCAACTCCTTCCTCCTCACTCGCCAGCAGAATGAGCGTCCATCGCAGGTGTGCGTAGAGGACTGCCAGGAGCTCGCATCCCGCAGCTTGGGGGAGCAGGAGGAGGCAGAGGCCGCAGGGTTTGACTCCTTCTCTCTGCTGACATGGCTGACGGGCTTCAGCTGGACTCCGTTGACTCTCAGCCTGTCTTCGTTGTGCCGGAGGATCTGGGGTAGGAGGCATTTCCTGCTCCTCTACTGCTGGGGAAGCTAATGAGGAGCAGGGAAGCGACTGGACAAGAGCGAGCAATGCTCCAACTGGGATCGCAGGCCCTTGCGGTCCTCACAGGTGATGAGGGAGGAGGCAGGAGTGAAGAGGGAGCAAGCGAATGGAAGAGAAGGAGGCAGGACATGGATCACAGAGGAGGGGAGAGGGGAGAGAAGGAAAAGGAGACAAGAGGCACGAGGCACGAGGAACGAGGAACGGCGTTGCCTTACATTATCGCCTTTACCGATGACCTGGAGCAGACTATCTACGCGGCTCTCGACGCTCATGTTCTTCTCGGGATTCACCGTCACTTCCAGCACCTCATACTAGAGAAAAAGCGAGCAGACGAGAGGGAATGAAGTACCCGACTGATTGATCCACCTACTCCTTGCCACCACCATCTCCACCTCCTCCTCCTCCTCCTCCTCCTCCTCCTCTTCCTCCTCTTCCTTCAGCTGCCCCCTTTGACCTTCTTCTCGGCGATCGGAACCTCTTCCAGATCGACGCCCGCGAGCTCGTCAGGCACGCGCCATGTCCGTTCGCCCGAGTACTGCGCCATGTGGAGGTCAGAGGAGCTTGGAAGGGGGTGGGGACGGACCTTGTTCCAGAAGAAGTATTCGCCAGTCTTGGAGGCGACCCTCTTCCACCCGTTCTGCGTGTTCTGCTTCACCTTCTTGTTGGGATCTCTTTCCCTGTACGAGGTCTTGCAGCTGAGCCCCTTGCTTTCCATCAGCCTCTCCAGCTGCCCGCACGCGATACTCTCCTTGATCCTTGCCTGTGCCCGGGGGATCAGGACAGGATAAGGAGCCCAGGAGTGGGGGAAGAGCAGGACGGGAGTACCGCGATGGTTGGGATCTGCTCTTTGGCAGGGAGGGCGAGGAGCTTGACGATGACCTGCTTGTCCTCTTCGAAGTGTGGTTTGAGGTACTTGGAAGACAGGCACTCCTCCACCTTCCACACTATCCAGCTCCCTCGCGGCCTGCAGGAAGGTGAGAGAGCAGGGGAGGAAGAGGTCCGATGACATTTTGACAGCATCGGCAGCGCTCTCGAAGATGATCCTCTTCTTGGACTCGCTGAGAGATGCGACGGTTTCGCCCTGTCAAACCATCGGAGCTGAGAATCTCAACACGTTCAGACAAGCAGCTGGAGTAACCTTGAGCCGAAGCTTCACCACGAGGCATCCGACGTTCTTATCCGCCTCCCTTCGGAAGCGCTTCTCGTACATCTCACGGACTACCCAGATGGAGATGAACTGGGCGGGGAGGGACGTCACGATGAGCGAGCAAATTCGGGTGAGAGCACCTGCCGCATGAAACTTTGGATCTGAATGATCGCTCGCTTCCGCTGCTCGAAGTAGACCCGCGCCAGGTGTTGGCGGTAGGCCATCTGGAGGGCGATGGCGCAAACTGCCTGATAGTCTCTGTCGTTGATAAAGGCCATCCTAAAGCAGCAAGATAAGCTCAGGCCGCTCAGATGCCGCGATCCCTCACCTCCTTGCTTTGCTCAATAGAGTCTTCGCCTGTTCTGAGGCTTGAGCAGCAGCTTGAACAAGCATGGTGGGCTCGAGCACTTGGAAGACAGCCTCCACCACCTCTGAGGACCTCTTCATCCTGTTGCAAGCCTTCGCTCTCACTGTGATCTTCCCCGACACGGCCATTTCCTTCTTGATCACACAGCCCTGAGAGTTTCTGTACAGAGTGGCGTTGTCATTCGACGAGCTGGGCTTGCTGCCGTCTGTCGTGTAGTAGATGATGTCACCTTCATCGCACTTGATGTTGATCGTGAGATGGTTGACAAGTTTCCCTGATGTCTTCGAGAAAGTCGGAGCCGTGCAGGTCTCTGTTACACTCCCTGTCCTCTCCTGCTCCTCCCACCCCTGGACGCGAGCTGACGGCGGGCGGGTGCTGGAAGGAGTTTGGTACTCCGATGTAGCAGGAGATTCCTCAGGCGTCAAGAACGCAGGAGACCTTCCTGAATCAGGATCGAGCGACTCCTGACATGTGCGCGTCAGGACCTTTCAGCCGCAAGGGCTGAAAACAATAACCTCGCTCTCCGAGTTGGAAGAAATTTCATGGGTAGCGTCCGCCCGTCCCGAGTTTTGAGTCATGTGCTTGTCGGATGCTAACTACCTGGATGTTCCATGTGCTACTTGGACTCTGATGATTTCAGCTTCCCTCCCTTCTGCATGTCTGGTCAGCTGAAACAAAAATAATGTAGAGGAATGATTCAACGCGACTTTCGCGACTGCTAGCTCTTGCTTTCTGAAGTGAGCTTCAACAATGTTTCAGGGCTAAAACAAGAACGAGCACACGGTGATATTTACCCATCTTGATTCCTTCAACTCCAGCTGCCTACCTCAACAACCTACAGCCGCCTCAAACTGCTGTCATTTCGCTCTGTCCCCTATCTTGTTGTTCTCCTCAGGTCTGACTTTCTCTCACATCTCAAACCCTCTTTCTCTGACATTCCTCCCTGTCCCTTGCCCCCCCATAGATCGCTGTCCGCCCTAAGGGGTCCGAAACCACCCTTCATACTATTACACCACCTCCAAACAGGTACCCTACCACCACAAATGCACTGATGTCTTATTCAGAGACCCCATGCCCGTATTCTCTACTAAGTTTCCTTTTAATGATGACTTGAAATTTCAGCTACCTTCTGAGTTATGGTGACAAGTCACCACCTCCTTTACTCCCTACCCCCCTACAGTACCTACCCCCCTATTTCTCAACGCACTTTCTTTAACTGCCAATTGATTATCCTATCTGTTCTACGGGTCCGTGTACCCCTACCCCTGCCTTTAAGACCCCATTTGGACTATAGAAATGATGTGGTGAAAGATAGGGTAGGGTGGGGTAGGCACCCCATAGTAAATGTGATGTACTAGTCAAGTGATCCCCTGTGAGGAGTAAAACCATGACGACCAACAAAGATTGTGACAACTAACACCACGACGATCATGACTGAGATTGTTGTGCGAAGTAAGATTGTGAGAGTGAGATGGTCGTAGATCCAGCACAAGGGAGACACTTTAAACTAGGAAGCAAGCCCCTCCGATTGCTTTCTGGAGGTAGCACAACGTTGAAGATGGGCTTTCATGACCAGAAGGAAACTGCGTAACAGTTTAGACGAGACTCTTATACCATCGCCTAAATCATGTAACATGAGGACTTGAGGCATCAAGTATTTTCTGGGACGAGATACTTCGCTACTACTCTCAGAAACGTGGTAGTCATATTCAGTTCAAATCCCAGGAGGGTGCACAAGGCCTTCATTTCGTTTGTACTTGAGAAGACGAGGAGGCTACACCAATGAAACAGGATAGAAGGATCTAAAAACAACCACTACCAGACTATCGATATCGACGAGAGTGTATGTCACAGAGCAGCATTTCTATCGATGCGTATGCTGACTTTTCTTCAACGAATGTCGAGTGCAGAGGAGAAGATGTGAAAAGAATTTCAAGTGAGGTGTGCAACCTGAAATGGTGCAGATCAACCAGATATTCAAGCACCCTAAGATGTGAAAGATTGCACCGAACAATATTCTATGCTTCAGAGAATTTAAACAGGCCGGCACACCTTGGCATGTAATCTCTGATAATATGTACGCCCTGACCATTGAGATGGGATCATGATTTCAAACAGAAATTTCCATCTGAAGAACGTATAGATCGTCAGCACAAGGGTGTACTTCTGCATCAGAGCGGCATAACTTACTAGTTGATGGCTAGAGGTTCACATCCCTTGTATGTCCCTTGTTTTCAAGTATGATTTCGGTTTCGGTTGTAAGTAATAATGTAAGGAGACCCCTTGGGCCCCCCATTGGCCCCCCTAGGGCCCCCCTAGGGCCCCCCTAGGACCCTTTTACTAGACAACTGTATCAACTTTTTCCAGTGTCAACTTGAGGATGGGACGTCACGGGGTCACGGGTTCATGATTTGAAAAGTAGGAATCCCCAAGGGAACTTGTCTCTCAATTTTGATTCTTTGACTAGAGTATTCTAGAAAAGGCGAAATGCCAAGGGGGGCGTGCAAGTGGGGGAATGTTCCGTTGTTGTGTTGACTTTTTTCTATGGGTAGGGTACCGATGTGAAATAGGGGGTGAGGGTACTCGAGTCGATTCAAGGGTGGGTGGGGTTTGGCCGATGCTAACAGGGAAAGTGCTATAGAGGATTACCCTTTGTGAAAGAAGGGGGTGGGGTACTTGACTAGAGTTCATTGTTTGTGGGTCCCTTCCATGGAAGACCACCCACCCACCCACCCACCCACCCACCCACCCACCATTTCTCAGTTGAAATGACCCCTAGAAAGCAAACGTTTATCCACCCTACCCGGTTGTTTTGGGGAATAGAAAATCTCCCGCCCCCTTTTAAAGATGAAGCAGCAGCGAGTGAAGCATAGGAAAGAACGCCTGTAGATCACACGCCCCCCGCCTGCTAGTCTCACTGGTAAGATCCTCTCAGGTCCAGCTCTGCCCGAGCACTGCCAAGGCAATAGATCCTCCATCATGCAGGGAGCCGCTGTCGCTGCGGTACTGAGGAACCGGAAGAAGAAGGTGAAGAAGACCGACGAGGAGATAGAGTATCTGATAAGCGATCCGATCGACAACCTGGTCGACGATATCCACGAGGTAGAAGGAGTCCTCCGAGATACCGAGATACAGAAGCTCTTCGGCCTGAGGAGTAGAACCGATCCTGTGGTTCGCCGAGAGATACAGATCGACGGCCTCCTAGAGAAAGTGCGGGAGAAGCTGTCACGCTCCTCGTCGTATGTGAGGCTGTTTGGGACGTCCATCTTCTTCATCGTGTACGTCTCGTTTCTCTTCATGCAGCGAGACATCACATCTTCCTACTACGTCGAGAGCTCTGTCGTCGACCTTGTTCTCAGTAATCTTCCTCAGCTTGGCAACGGAGGCTACATGAACTCAGGACTGGGCTCGACGGGCTTTCTCGGCACGTCTGCAGACTTCTACTCCTGGTAGGGATCGTGCTATGAGTATAATCGCCGACGTTGACTGTGATCGGCAGGTTTCGGGGGATAGCTCAGGTGGTGTTCAGCGATCCTGTATGTGGAGATGGAAGTTGTGATACACCCGACGAGTATCCGGGCTTCGGGCGGTTCGGATGCATCAAGGACTGCGGCAAGTACAAGAACGTCACCACGCTCACTATCACACTGGCAGACATCATCCAGCAAAGCTCGTCAGAGCTCGGTTTCCCTCTCAAAGACTCTGCGCTGGACAGCGATCCGTCAAGGGTGCGATATTTCTACAACATTTACAGCGATACGATGGGAGACTTTCTTTTCGAGACCGACACAAACGCAACCCAGCTGACGTTCGAGGCTCCCGACGGAGAGCTTACGTTGGTGCTATACCAGGTCTCGTCTTTAGAGCAAGCGGTGGAGAATCAAGCGGTGACGTCATTGTTCAGGGTGACATCAAGGTAAGTGAAGGTTGTACGAGAGTAGATGAGCTGAGCTTGGCTCGCAGCTCTTTCTCGACTCTCTCAAAAAGGAAGTCGGCCATGGAATATGGGAACCACAGAGAAATTTTCAAGAACGCAGTCTTTAATGAGAACGCCTTGAAAACCATGTGTCGATCCCCCACAGACGCTATGCGTACTTTCTGCGACAAGTTCAACCCCGAAGGTAGCAAGAGGCATGGCGTGACGGTGAGGGTTCTGACTAAGATCTGGATGAAAGATGTCGGCTACCTGATGACCTCCAAGTACGGGCTGAGCGGCAAGATCGAGCTCAAGGACTCGGTGACGGGTGTGTTGGAGACCATAGTGGAGGTAAGCTTGCCGCTGTTTGGCGTGCTTGTAAGGGTTGTACAGGTCGGGTACTGCAGCATCCTTCCCAACATGAGCGGGAGTCCGTACGCGGCAGCGAACAAGGCGAAGATCATTGAGTCGGGATCCAGCTGCGATGTTTCATCAAGAGCGCGGAGAAGATCTCGAACGGTCAGAAAAAAAGAAGGGGAGGAGGCAAAGAAGAAGGCAGGAGGCTCGATTCCAATGAGGAAGATGGGAGTCATGCAGCATGATGCTCATGTCACGAGCGGAGAGCGTGACGTTGGTTCCTCCGCTCTTCGTGAAGAGTCGCCGGCGAAGGAAAACCCGAAGAGGATGGAAGAGCTCTATCAAGTCATCAGCAAGGAGAGTCATCAGGAGAAAGCTGACAAGGCTTCGTTGAGAGTTGTCTCCAATTGTCCTGCCACTAGTCGGACGTTTGCAAGCGCTTCTGGCTATGTCACATCAGGATACTCGTCTTATTCATCTTCGACGGACTGCTACTGGATCATAGCCCCGCCAGCAGCAACGGACGTGTCTTTAACGTTTCAGATGTTTGATGTGGAGTACAGTAGCACATGCAGGTATGACAGTGTCAAAGTTTACTCTTGCACGACCGCAAGCTGCACAAGCCCAACGCCCACGTTGCTCAAAACAATGTGTGGGACAATGAGTCAGATAGTCAACCCAGTGACGTCACCAACGGGCTTCATGAAGATCAGATTCACTACGGATAGCTCTGTGAACAAGCGAGGCTTCTGTGCAACGTGGGGGACCGGAGCCATTTGTCCTACCAGTCCCAGGCCCCCGGTTCTCAGAGCTTACAAGGAGAACGTATTGAGACCCTTGTACAGCAGTCTCGTGGGACTATCTCTCGCTGAAGTCGAGGTGGTCACTACCTCGCAGGTCACCTACATGCGGTATGCTCTCTCTACAGACGCACGGCCCACCCCCACCTGCGACTGCACCAACTGGGAAGACGAGGCCTCTTGCCCCAACACCGTCAAGAATGGCTCCAAGCTTGTGCTGTACCGCAAGGGCGCGACTTCTCGCACGTTCTTGCAAGTCAAGGTCATCGCGTGTGCAAAATACCCTGATGTGACACTGCCGAGCTCGAGTGCTGACTACGGGAACTACTTCCTGGACCCGCCTCGTGTCCGCTTGTTCTTTCCCGTCAACATCCAGACGATACCCGCGATCACCTCGACAACCGCCGACAACGCTTCTACCTCCGTCATTACGAACAGCTCCACCCTTGCGGAAGCCTCAGCCAACACCTCAGCTCCTTCAAGGGAGTCCGATGGCACCACCACTCCAACAGTCCCTGTCGTAGTCCCCGTCGTAGTCCCCTTGTGTGGAAACTTGTCTGCGCTCGACGAGTGGCAGAAGATCGTTGAGAGCAGGCTCAACGCTTCTCAGGTGCTCCCTCAGCAGATCAGCGTCAACGTCTCTAGGCTCTCGGAGACTGCAGACGTGTCAGGCGAAGTCTTGGCAACCTCCAACGTCCAAGCGGCGACCATCATCAACGTGCTGCTGGATCATCGTAAGGAGATGCAGGAGGCGCTGACGCGGGCTTGTCCGCTCTTGACGGCGTCGCAAGAGATGTCGATCAGCACGAGCTCGATCTTCACCAAGAGCACGAGAGGTGAGGGGCCCGACGCCTCGTCCGTCTTGTCAGTCGCTGACAGCTCGTGTGACAGGTCAGGCCTGCGAGTCGCATTATGATTGCGATACAGGACTTTTCTGCTCCCAGCAGGGCTCGTCGAGCACGGGAGGGTTAGGGACATGTGACCTCTGCAGCTTCTGCAAGGTTGACGCGAGCGACGCGATCGATCTCAGGTGTCCGACCATCACGTGTCCGACCTCGGGGCAGTTCCCCGCGTGCGCGGACACAGCGAAGCTGACGTCAAGCTCCACGTGCGCGAGCGACTATCGTTTCAGCGTGTGGGAGTATCGGGATGCGAGTGAGGGTCCGCCCAAGATCGTCCCGCCGTTCGAGCCCAAGAACCGCGAGATCACTCCCTACAACAGGATCGTCGGCGCCATCGTGATCTCGCAGAAGAGGATGAAGCCTGCTGACTGCGCTCAGAGCGTGAACAAGCACGTCCAACTCTACATGGAGTCGGTGAAAGGCATCGTGAGCTGTCCGTCCACGACTCTTGACGACACTCCGTACGGCTACGATCCTTCCTTCATGACCTTCAGCAGCATGTACAACCCGAAGCTCGAGCCCAGACAGTTTTACGCCCCGCCTGAGAGGCACGTGATCAGCTCCGGTGGAGTGACGGAGCTGTCCTTCCCGATCGGCTTCTTTCCGCAGAAGTACGACACCAACTTCTTCGATCGGAACAAGGATGGCTTCATCTCTGAGGCAGAGGCCTCGATCAACGTTACAGGCTTCGAGCAAGCCTACAAGGATCCCAAGTACATCATGCCGTCAGAGGGAGACACCTTCAAGCTCTACTTCGACGAGCGTCTCACGCAGATGCTGGCGCAGACCATGATTCAGTTCGCGGAAGACGGCTCCTACATCGACGGGACGACAGAAGAAGTGCGAGTGCAGTTCCTCACCTACAACGCGCCTAAGAACATCTTTGCTCTGCATGAGTTTATCTTCAACTGGCAGCAGACAGGCAGGATACCATGGGACTACCAGGTCAACTCCTTTACTGTTGACTTCTTTGCCGGGCCGAAAGCCGGGTTGCAGATTTTCCTCTTCGTACTCGTCATAGTCTTTTTACTGATCAACAGCTACATGGAAGTCAGCGAGCTGCTGGGTGAGATCCGCAAGTACAATCTGAGCGGGTACCTGTCGCATCCCTTCAACTGGATCGACTGGACTCACTTCGCCTTCATGTGGGGAACAGTGATCACCTGCCTGCTTCACTACCAGGACTGTCGGCGGTTCGAGATGAAAGCCAACTACCCCGTCCTCTTCTACGGGCCCGACTACGGGTCCGCTGCCCGACGGAAAGGCGTCACAACCGTCCAGACAGGGAAATCGTTTCAAGTTCCGTTAGTGAAGTCAGGCAACGCACAGGCGAGGCATTTCCGTACCGACAACCAAGCTGAGCTGGACTTGCTGATGCTGCTGGAGCAAGCAAGAACCATCTCGGGGTCGATGAGCCTCTTCTCTTTCTTCGCCGGAGTCAGCGTCGTTCTGTTCGTGCTGCGCATGCTCAAGTCGCTTGACTTCCAAGAGCGCATGGGCCTGGTCACCCGGACCATCGCACGCGCGTCGAGCGACCTCTGGCACTTCATGTTGTTATTCCTCCTGGTGCTATACGGCTACTCCGTGGTGGGACACATGCTGTTCGGTCATCAGTACGAGGCGAGTAGAAGAGTGAGGGCGTGGGGGAGGAGCTGACCTGCTATGGCATGACAGGGGATGAAGGACATGTCGACGACGTGCCTGACGCTGTTGATCTTCCTGCTCAGTCTCGACACGACTCAGTTCTACGCATCGGTGAGTGCGAGCAAGCCCAGCGGTCTAGGTAGAGGGCAAGCTGACTGGTGTGATGACAGATGTCGCACGCGGCTCCGGACGGAGCGTTTCACATCTTCCTGTGGTCTTATCTGTTCATCGCGTTTTTCATCCTGCTCAACGTGTTCCTCGCCATCTTAGTGGACTCGTACGCCAAGGTCAAGGAAGAGACTGAGGGGACGACCGGGCTGGTGGAGGACTTGCTGGAGACTGTCTGGCATGGACTGAGGCAGGTGCTGAGAACGCAGCAGTTCGTGTCGAACCAGATGCTAGAGCAAGCTCTGATAAGAGAGCGAGAGACTCTGACGTCGAAAGAGAGCCAACGTCGCAGCATCGAGCGCGACCTGAGGGAAGAAAAGATGATTCTGCTTCCCGGTGGCGTGTCTGTTGATACCTACGAGCTTGCTGCTCTTGCTCGACAAGCCTTAGCGAAGGGGTCGGACAAGGTACATCCAGACCATGACGAGGACGGAGACGATGCTGAGGACTACACGCTGTGTGAAGACGAGATAGTCGCGTCCGCCGACCTGATGAGCCGCTATGGCACGGAGCCATCGGAGATCGCGGAGAGGAGGAAGGAGGAGCTGATGGAGCTGCATGACATGGAGGGCGTGAGACGACAGATCGCAATGCAGATCAGTCAGCTCAAGATTCTCAACAGCCAAAAGCGCATGTCAGACCTCATGACGAGGATGGGCAAGGAGCTCGTGCCGGCTGCCATCGTCGAGAGCGCGGAGCAGGCGGAGGTAGTCTACACGTCGCCAGCATCGAAGGCTGCGGGAGTGCTGAGGGTGCAGCTGGTAGAAGCGAGGAACCTGCCGCGGATGGACCTGCTCTCGGGCTGTGACGCGTACTGCGTGTTGTTCGTCAACGCGTGCTCGGGGCTGTCTACGTTTGCGTCGGAGGTGATCAACAAGAACGTCAACCCGGTGTGGAAGCAAGACTTCGAGTGGAGGATGACGAGTCAGACCAAGGTTCTGAGCGTCACCTTGTGGGACAAGGATGATGTGAGTGCCGTCGGGAGGCTGGTGGAGGTCGCAGAGAGGTCTGACGGATGCTTGTGCTCAGGTGACGAGCGACGATCTGGTTGGGTCTGTACAAGTAGACCTGCAGCAGCTCCCGGAAGGCGAGCCGCAGGAGCTGACGCTGCCGCTACAGAACCAGAGGCTCTTCAAGAAGCTTCGAGACACTCGGTTGGTGTTGAGGGTGCAAAAGCTGACGGAGGAAGAAGCAAAGGTCAGGGAAAGGCGAGGGGAGGAGAGGCGTGCGACTGACGGGATGTGCGTGTGGCAGAAAGAGCATACAAGGCAGGAAGCAGAAGAGGAGGAGACAACGCATGTGATCGATGATCTCGAGGAGCTAGCGGAGGAGAATTTGGTCGAGGTTTTGCCAGCTGACGGCCAGCTGATGTGAAGAGAGCGAGAGAGGAGAGCTGGAGGGTACGGATGAAGAAATGGGTGTACAGTAAGGCCGGTCAAGGCCTCGCATAGAGGAAACGAGCTCGCAGTGATTTGATCATGTTCGCTCTCATCCTCTGAGTCGGATTGCCTGCATCACTTCGGTGGGTCAAACGTGCTCGGAGAGAGGGCCAGCGTCTCGTTGTTTGAGTGAGGAGCCAAGGGCTGTAGGAGCGTATCCTTGTGCTTAAGCGAGACGCTCTCATGGACGCGAGCTTCATCGGTCCATCACAAGACGCGGAGGAGAAGATTGATCAGAGCAATGTCAGCTTCCCGGCAAGAAGGAAGGGAATGACGACGAGGGGAGAAGAGGGAGCGCGGGCAACGAAGGGGAGGAAGCAGATAGAAAGTGAGGGATTGAGCGACCAGTAAGGAGAACAGGGGATGTAGACGATCAAATCGCTTCCACAAAAAGCCCCTCACCTCTGTTTCGTCGCCCCCGCTCACACAGGCCTTACTGTACACCTGTTTCTTCATCCGTACCCTCCAGCTCTCCTCGCTTTCTCTCTTCACATCAGCTGGCCGTCAGCTGGCAAAACCTCGACCGCATTCTCCTCCGCTAGATCCTCGAGATCATCGATCACATGCGTTGTCTTCTCCTCTACTTCCCTCAGGTCGCAGCATCGAGCGCGACGTTGGCTCTCTTTCGACGTCAGAGTCTCTCGCTCTCTTATCAGAGCTTGCTCTAGCATCTGGTTCGACACGAACTGCTGCGTTCTCAGCACCTGCCTCAGTCCATGCCAGACAGTCTCCAGCAAGTCCTCCACCAGCCCGGTTGTCCCCTCAGTCTCTTCCTTGACCTTGGCGTACGAGTCCACTAAGATGGCGAGGAACACGTTGAGCAGGATGAAAAACGCGATGAATAGATAAGACCACAGGAAGATGTGAAACGCTCCGTCCGGAGCCGCGTGCGACATCTGTCATCACACCAGTCAGCTTGCCCTCTACCTAGACCGCTGAGCTTGCTCGCACTCACCGATGCGTAGAACTGAGTCGTGTCGAGACTGAGCAGGAAGATCAACAGCGTCAGGCACGTCGTCGACATGTCCTTCATCCCCTGTCATGCCATAGCAGGTCAGCTCCTCCTACACGCCCTCACTCTTCTACTCGCCTCGTACTGATGACCGAACAGCATGTGTCCCACCACGGAGTAGCCGTATAGCACCAGGAGGAATAACAACATGAAGTGCCAGAGGTCGCTCGACGCGCGTGCGATGGTCCGGGTGACCAGGCCCATGCGCTCTTGGAAGTCAAGCGACTTGAGCATGCGCAGCACGAACAATCAAAAAAGGCTTGCCAAGGCATGGAGAGGTGAGAGCAGGGGCGACGAAGTGGAGGAAGCAGAGAGAGAGAGAGAGAGAGAGAGATGGAGCGGCTGGTAAGGAGAGCAGGGGATGTAGACGATCGAATCGCTTCCACAAAGAGAGTTGAGGCGCTACACGTCGCGCAAGCAACAACTGTGCGATCAAACACATCGATCTGAGCTGCGCTGATGTAGCAGGGAAGGAGAGGAGGTTCTCTTAAAGTCTTGTTTATTTACAAGGGGCTCACTCTAAGAAGTCGATGTCACCCACCAGCAGCTTCGAGGAGGGCATCGGCAGCCCGTTGGGCGCCAGGATGGTGAGCTTCTCCTCCTGTAGATCCACTCGCTGACGAGACAAACAGTCAATGCAAGCGACAAACAAGCAACCAATGCAACGAGGAAAGATCTACCTGCACATGTACAAATCCTGCTACGTTAACGCAAACAAGCTCCTGGTCGTCTGAGGGGTTTCGGCCAGCAACCTTGTCATCTCAAGTCAGGTACATCCCTTCGCTCCACTTCTCGCACACCGCCAGGAGCTTGTTTTCCAAGTTCAGGTCAGGCTCTACCACCTGCACCTCCATCTTGCTCTCGATCGCTGTGATCCCTATCGGCAGAGCATCCTTCGGGACTTGCGGGGTAGCGGCAGTGCGAAAAAACTGCAACTGACGGGAAGTGAGGGAGGAGGAGGGAGAGGAAGCGCAGGGGTGCATGCTCACTTTGGAGAAGGGGAATACGATGGGACGTGGGCAGAGCTCCCGCTCTCTGCCGTAGAAGTAATCTTGTATCACCTCCTTCTCTGCCTGCTTCTGGAAGGAATGATCCGGAACGACGACTCCACCCCCCCTAGCAAGAGTCAGACCAGCATCACGGGACCGCTCCAGCTCACTTGGCTAGCTTGATGATCTGAACTCCTCCTTCATCCGACCCTCCCAGGTCTCGCTGGAGGTCGCAGAAAAGTTTGTCCATGTCCATCACAACGATGATGTCGGCCTTCATCGACTTGGCACACGCCACCAGCAGGTCATACGACGGCTGGCTGCTCGCGTGGTATGAGAACGTGTCAATGACCAGCCCTGCAGCTTTGCCCTGCTCGTCAAAGCCACTGTTCTGCCTCGCTGCGATTTGTGTGGCAAGGTCATCGACTAGACTCTTGAAGAGGTCGCTTGACCGTGTGCAATCTCTGTAACCGTAGTAGTAGGCGAGGGGATGAGCCATGGAGTTGCTGTCCGTTGGTGAGATGAAAGAGGTAACGGCGACGGCTCCTAGCGAACCAGGGAGGAAAAGAGCGCGGGCCTAGAGGGCGTCAGACACAGGAGAGCGAGAGAGACGAGTCACCTTGGAGACATCCAGGTCCACCATCATCGGCCTCTCTCCCTCCCTCACAGCGTAGTTGAGGAGTAACTTGACCAGCGACGACTTGCCGGTGTTGGGCGGGCCAACCACCATGATCCTCGGCCCGCTGGTGTTGGAGTTGAGGGCTGCGCGGCGACTCTGCTGCAGGTACGCGTGAAGGTTGGCAAACGTCTTCATCGGCGTGGTGTCTCCCTTATAGCAGCACTTGGGTTCCCCCCGCACCGAGATCATACACCCATGCCAGGTGTAGAGAGCCAACTTGGTTCGAGCTAGCTCAACGGTCTCCCCGCAAGGCAGCTCCCACCCGAAGATCTCTGCATGCCCTGTGTCAAGGGTGACAAATACCTTCTTCGAGTCCGCCTCGATCCTCAGCTCCTCTCCAACCTCGAGGGAGAACATCTCTTTCCTTATCTTCTCGCGGTTGACAAGGTTCTCGGTCCTGACCTCTGGTTGGCGAAGTGACGCCATGAGCTCAGCAGTCACGCTTCTTGAAGCATTAGAGCTCTCATCCACGTTCACCGCCTCCTTCACTTCTTGACCAGAACCCAACTCGCGCTCGTCGCTGTTATTGGGATTGAGAGGCTCTTCAGCTCCCATCTTTTCGTTCACTTCGGTCTTCACTTGCATCGGTTGCACAACTGCAGGCTTGACATCTGACACGCCTGCGCTATCATCTGCTGCAGGCATGGGAGGAGTCTTGGCAGGATCAGCCTCGGCGATCTGAACGGCCCTGCCATCTAGTCCCTTGGAGTCGCCTTCACCCTTGATAACGCTGCTCTCTCCTTCAGCCGTCGTCTCCGTTCCGTTTCCTCGGAGTTTCTTCGATTCAGCAGCTGAATCTGTATTCTCCACATCTTCCAGGCTCCTCTTGGTTCCAGCTAAAGTCTCGTCGCTCTTGGGAGTCATGTTCTCATCTTCTTCGATGGTGCTCGTCCTCTGACCGGCTTGAAGTTGCTGCTCTATTCCTTCTTCCTTCAACGCCTCCTCCTCATCCTTCGGATTGAGAACAAAGTCGGGGAGGTCCTTTCTCTTCACTGACTGCACTTGAAGCTCCATTTCACTCTTCCTTCGCGCCCAGTTTTTGAGCCTCCCCTTGAATTCTCTCACAGGCCCGGATATGTTAGGTGCTTTCTTTCCATCTGCTTTCAATTTTTCTTGATCAAACTTCAACCCAACAAACCAGAAGTGCTCAAACTGCTCCTGCTCTTGCTGCCTCGGCTTTGCAAAGTTCCTCTGTATGGGATGTGCTCGATCCAAATATGCATCGGGCCACTTTTCCATGTATGACACTACGGCACGAATGTTGGCTTCACAGAAGCCCTTCCACATGTCATAATCAGACTTGCTCTGCGCAGATGCCTGGATCTGAAGAAAGTTTGCATACTTTGAAAACGGGTCAAGGGGTTCAAACAGATCGCTCCACTCGGCATTGCCTTCCAGGATCTGTTTGCAAATATCCTTGGCCCTGGTGAACTCCTCCTGCATCACCTTGAGGGTCGACTTGGACACATTTGCCGTAGCATTCTGTGCAGGATAGCAAGGGGTGATGATAGGCATCAAATGCCGGCGGTCTGACATTTCAGTCGCTCCGAATCCCCAAACTGGCAGATTCAGATCATGCGAGTTGGCGATGACCTCGGTCAGGCCTACGGGCTGCGGCCACTTCCATTGAGAGTAGGTGAAGAAGAAGAAGTACAGCAGCCTGCTTGGAAGAGCCTTGGGATAGAGCTGTCCGATCCTTGCGGCCATGATCTCCAGTGAGATACCTCCAAGGAATCCCAACACGTTCTTGTACACTCCACGCTTCTTGGCCCACAACTTGAGCGCTCGGATGCAATACTTCAAGGTCTTCATGGTCGGGACGAGGCTTCTGATTGTGTCCGTCACGCGCACACCATTGAGGGAAGTGACGCTCTGCTGATCGACATTCTTGAGATGCTTGTCGTCGGTAACATCAAAGTCCTCCGGTATAGTCGCATAGCTGAGCCTCGCCATCGCCAAATCGAACTCGAACTCATCCATCTGAAACTTGATCACAGGCACACGAGCTTCCTGGACTTTGATCAGGTTCGTGATGTCTTTGCGAGCTTGCATGGCCACGTAGAGATCGTTGAACATGTCATCGCGATGGATGTGTCGAGTGACGATCATCACCGTATCCATATCTGCACCAGGCAAGTGAACATCAAGACGGTAACTACCGAAGGTTCGAAGTTGATATGGAGGGTTTTCCTCTGAGTATTGCTCCATCAAGTTGTTCTTCTCGTACACTCGCTTCACGAAATCCCGACACATCTCATTGAGCTTGGCTAGCGTCCTGACCCTTCTGGCAGACTCGCTCTCTGAGGGGAGCAGGTTCTCTGCTTCCATGTAGTTCATCAAAGTCTCGTTGATCCGCTGGTCTTGCTGGGATGGCTCGGCCAATGACAGCGGCTTTTCGACCACTCGTACCAGCTGATCCTGCGCCTGCGCCATTGTCCTATCCCTGCAAACATACACGTTAGCTAGAGCAATCGTCATCCATGAGCATCAACGCTGGAAATCAAGCAAGTCTGAGAGGTGAAGCAAGATAGAGGCTTGAGAAATGAATGGAAAGAGAGTAAGGGAAGGTCGGCAGGCAAGGGGGGGCTGGGGCCGTTAGCTTCAAAGCTGCACTGAAGGCGGGAATGGAAAGGAAAGACATTTCCTGGTCGGACCAAGAGATTCTTCTCTACGGATCATGCAACATAGCAGTTTCTTGATTCCTCCCGCTCCAGCCTCTCACCCCCCCTCCCTCCCTCCCTCCCCCTCCAGTACAGACGAGGCGCTGGCCATTGATCGCATTAATGCGCGTGTTTGCCATCGCGAGGCGGGTCAGCGAGCGAGTAATTAAGTAATTAAAGTGGCGGCCTGCTCCCATCATGCCAACTGAGCCTCCGTCAGGTCCAACTCAGTGAGTCACGGCGGGATCGGACGGCCTTCACCGGGGGGGGGGGCGGGCGGATCATGCCGCGCAGTGCAGCATGCCCACCGTGGCACCACCGCGAGTTATGCCAGCGCGGCACTTTTAAACTCAGGCCAATCGGTGTGCTCACGTCTGGTGGCATCCAATCGCGGCCAGTGAACCCGCCGCGCCGCCAGTGTCCGGCCCGGCCGCATGACGCAGTGATATCATCATGATGATCGGACGGGTGTCCGAGTGCCACGGTGACGGTCAAAAAGTTTGACAGCGAGGCGGACCCAGATCGGATCTGTGGAGGGGTCGGGGTGGGAGTCAGAGGAGGGGTGTATATGTCTTTAGGAGCGAAGAGTCGGGGGGTCCATGGGAGGGAGGGTGGTCATGTTGAGGGGAGAAAAGGAGGACAAATTCATTGGAAACACCAGGGGGTATCTTTGATGAGGGGGTAGGGTATTCAATAGTGGGGTAGGGGTAGTACGGATCAAGGGGTGGGCAGATGTGCTGTATGACACGCCCTGTGAGGAGCCATGCGGGCGGGGAGGATGATGGAGGAAAGTGCAGGTGGTATAAGAGCGGGAAGGAGATGCAGGAGCTCGTGCCGATGAGCACGTCAGCAGGTAGAAGCAAGCAAGCAAACCTGCTCCTTTCTTGAATTGGCTTGCAGTCTTGGGAACATAGAAACCGAACCCCTCCCCATTCTTCTTTTGAAGCATTTCGACGAAAGCTAGTCGTCGTCTTCGAGTATTTTTCAGTTGTACATTGGATTTTGCAACTTGGTTTCGATTATGCGTTGCAGCATTCTTGTTTGATCTATGCCATACGTGGTCGCAATGAAGATCCCTTGCCGGGTGTGCTGGGTTCTTGCATTTATTCTATTGCTGTTTCCTTGTCATTTCTCGTGTGCCGGGGGCGACTTTCAATTATCTCTATTCGGATCAAACTGTACTCTCGGCCAGTTGCATGCTGAAGACAGTCGGTGCCATATGAGCTTGAATAGGGGTCGTTATGCTCTACCTCAGGTTCAACTACGCCTTGTGGATAGATATGGCATGGCATGTTGTGAAGGAGTTTCTTATATCGTGCAAGCAAAGTTATACAAGAGAGAAAGGGAAGTTCCTCTCTCTGGAAAAATTGTTGTACAAAGTACCGAAGGTGATGGCATTGTACGGTATACTCAATTACAACTCGATTCCTTTGAAGCAGGAACGGGGTATAGGTTGAAATTTTCGACCTTTGTGAACTTAGACGGCTCAGGTTCCATCGAACTCGTTTCCAATGATTTCACAATAATGCCTCAAAAAATTGTTCTGCCAGACTCCAACACAGATTTCGTGCTGCAAGCAAATGCTCCTGTTCCAACATTTTCGCTAGCTGTGGCAGCTACAGACTTCACAACTTTGATTAGTGAAAACCTTGGAAACAATATTTTTGTGTATTCCTATTTGGGCACAGAATATCAGATCAAGCTTAAAGACGGGCATTATGATCTCATGACATTGAATGATGAATTGTCAAGACAATTGGGGCAGAACATCACTTTGAGTTGGAGTGAAAATCGGGTAAAGCTCTATGATTCTTTGAGACTGGCTGATTTCTGTACCAGGTGAAGGCTTCATTGCAGCAGGGGTTTCGAGCTCTATTTGCAGGAACGCCATTCGGTGTTTTCTTAGGTTTTTCTCTCTCCACGTCTGGGGTTCAAGCACATGCGAGCGTGCTAGTAGCGGACTGGGACCGGCATGGATTAATGACGGCAAATTTGACGAGACAGCGTGTTGGAAATCAGACTCTCTTGGAGGGGATTGATTCACAAGACGGACTTTTTGCAATAGTGCATCTGTTAGATCTGCGTGCTGGAGCTGACGTGACCAGCGATCACTTGCATGGGAATTTGACGCAGAATTTCTTAACTACCTTTGTTTCCTTCTCCGGATTGACTTTGAAATGTCTTATTGGGACATATCAAGCTGTGGTAAGACTTCTCATCCGCGACCTCAATTCAACAATTTTCATCCATGAAGCATATTTGCTCTACAACGTTGTTCCAAAAGCCCTCTACTTGGACGATCGTTTCTCTTTCCAAACCGTCTCTGTCAATCTTGAAGAAGTCATTTATCCATCAATTCCTGTCTCCTTCTTTGATAGGAATTTGTGCAACAACTATTATGTAAGTTTTCAAAGTTACAGCGTTGCGGCTCAAATGTTTAATCGAGATCAATCAGAAGTTACTTCAAGTCTGATGGGTACCAAAGTTCAAGGCTTCGGCAACGATGGACTTGCAATATTCGACGATTTGTACATCGATTTGCTCACGGGGTCACCTTTTTTCTTGCAAATCTGTATGCAAGACCTAGGATTTTGCGTAAACACGTCAAATATCACGGTTGTTCCAACAAGGCTTAATTTTGATTCAAGAACCCTGTTTCCTAGTTCTTACGAATTCATTGACACTATTTTGTTGACATTTGTCAATTCAAAAGGTGAAAGCTTGATTGTGATACCAGAAGATAGATTCAAAATCAAGATGAGCTTGTTGCAGAATGACATAACAGGGCATGGATACGTCCAAGGACCCACAATCGTAAATTTTTCTCAAGCTTTCAATGCTTTCGCGTTTCAGAAGCTGTCCTTGATTGGTATGGGCAAGAAATATACATTATTCTTTGAGCATGTGGGTGGCATTGCCTGGGTATCATCGCCCGAATTCAGTTTGCAGAATGGTGGTTTTCTGGTGGCATCTAATATCTCAAACCATTTTTGCGGTCAACAACTCGGGGTCTTCACAGTTACGCTTGAGCCGAAGATTCCTGAGCTTCCGCTCGACCTCTATATTCTATCTAATCCTACAGTTTCAGTTGAAATTGACAGCGCAACCGACGCGACAGTCACTTTAACCGGGACTGTCCAAATTCCTCTTATACAAAGAAATGCTCGTTTCACAGACGTTTCCATTGAGTTAGGAGCTCTCTCAAAGTGTCCATCCACATACACCTTGCGATTCCAACTGAATGTCGAGAGTGTTGTACTTTTCACTGTAAATTCAAATCAATTTATTCTTTTGCCTTACAATCTTTTTGTTCCATGGAATGTTACCACCTATTTTCCGGACATCTTGGACGTCAAGATCCGGGACTATGACATGAAAATTGACACTGTTGCTCAGGATGTGCAAGTCTCTGCCCGTTTGACCCGTATTAGGCCTTCCTTTGCCATCAACAATTCTGTCGGCCTTTACATTTCGCTTGAGAATGCTTACATGCCTTACGCCTCCGCTTTGTCAGGAATCACGACAGAATCAGTCGTCAATGGAACAGCTCGCTTCGCTGGCATACGACCAGTAAAGAAGGCTGGTCGTGGTTACAGGCTAGAGTTTCATGCAGAATTTCCTTTTTCAAGGTTGGTTTTTGCCTCGACATGGAATTTCACTGTTTTACCTTCACAACTTCTATTCTTGAGCCAGTCACTGCTCTCTAATGTCTCCTTGGGGAAGACCTTGCCCCCTCTGCTCGTTTCTATAGTTGACTCTTTCGGTAACGTGGTTGACGGCTTGAGCGAAGCCGATGCCTTTGCCATGAACTTCTCAGTATTCAGGTCGACAGTAAATTGTTCAGCTTGTTCTACCTGCAGAGAATTTTCTTCCGCCATACGAATCACGATCAATTCAACAATATCAAGCTCACATTTGCCCGTTGTCAGAGTGAGCCCTACCTTCGATTTAACTGTCACTGGGGCCGCTTTCACAACTAAGATCATTTGTCAGACATCATCATATGTCGGCGCAAGCAACAGGATTCACGTTAGCTTAATCTCAAACGTTGATCTTTATGGAAAGGACGGTAGTGTGATCTCAATCACAGGCTTGTATGCTTCAGGGACTTCATACCCAGAGATTCCATTGTACAGTCAGAACCGTGACATTTTTACTGTTGCCAAGTGGTATAGAGCCATGGGTACCTTGATTGTAAGCATCCCACTCAATTCGACCCTTTCTTCTGGAATTCTGTATGAATTTTCTTTCGTTCTGCAGAATCCTTCCTTCATATCTACATCTTCCGTGCAAATTGCATCTTCTGGAAGTCATTTTATTTCGAAATCTAAGTTTGAGTCGGGGAACTGTGCCCAGCCCTTTCAGACATCAAGCTACCTGGTAACCGAATTGAAGGTAGCTCAGAGTTCAAGAGATCCTGCAAGTCGCAACCTTATCAGCATTTCATTTCTTTCCAATGCTGAATTTCAGTGTGGAGTGAATCAGTGTATTGTACGGGGTTTGACCTCGACATTTGTGTATGAGGATAATTCCTTTGTCTCGAACTGCAGTCTTTCTCTTGATCACTGGGACAACGTCACTGGAAACCTGTTCATTGTTACGGGCAATGACCAGGTTCTGCCTGGAGCCTGTCACTTGGAGTTTGCAGTTAGAAACCCTTGTGTTGCCCGAGAGAGCGAGGCGGTCCTGTTGCAGCTGAACGAGTCGATGTATGGGATGACTTATAACCAGCTTGTCGCGTCTGACGGGCCTTTGATTGCAGTCAGCTACGTGTACGACAATCTATTTCCCTGCGCCAACAACACTCTAAGGACTTCAGTGTCAAGCAATTATGACCTGGTGACTGGTTTCATCCTCCGCATCTCTGCTCCGTCAGCCGTCAATTTCTCACAGCTTGCAACGTTGCGATTCAACTGTTTGTTGAACACTTCAAGCAGTGGTTATGCCGAACTCTGCAGTCCGAGCGGGTCATCGAATCATCCCTCCTATGCTTGCATGGACGTGGATTGTAGCAATCCGGCCGTTGGATGCTTCTTGCAGGAATCCATCGGAGTGTCATCAGTTGATACCAACGGCAGCACAGTTGAACTTTCGGTCAACTACTCGTTGCATGCTGGGCAGTCAGTTGAAGTCTCCCTCAACTTGACCAACCCCAGCACAGGAAACATGAATGTCAGCATAGCATTGTTTGCGATAGACGTCAGAAGCCCTTTGCCCATAGGTGTGTCCGCATATCAGATAGTCCGAGATTCTTGTAGTGCGGTCAGAGAAGGTAAGATCTCCTGTATGATGCTTCCATCTGCTAACACTTGAATCCAGTCCTGTCTAGCGGTCTTGCGATCGAGGATCCAAAGTTCTCGGTGAAGGAGATTCAGCAGAGTTCCTCGTTCCCTGGTCAGAACAACTCCATCACTTTACGATTCAGCGCGAACGTCGACCTGCACTCCGGAGATCTGATAACATTGAGTTTCGATGGTACGATATCATTGGTAAGCGACAAGGCCTCTCCGAGTTACTCTCCAACGTCTTCCTTCATAGTGTATCCACAGGATGGACTGACTTTGTCTGAAGACACGAGCAGAATTTCTCTCCCTGTGAAGAGCGTTCAAGCAGCTGGAGCGTTTTCCCAAGTTACCTTTCTTGTACAGAATCCGGAATCAGAAACAAGTATTCCTTCTTTGGACATCTATGTGAGCGTCTCATACAACTCTTCCTGCGGATTAGAGGGATTTTATCAGATCGCGCAGACAAAAGTTTCGACATGCACTGCAGTCGATGGTACTCCAAGCAACATCTATCCGTTCTCAGTCTCGGCGCCTCAATTTTTCGTGAAGAACATAGGGCAGGCGGATCCCTATCCTGGAGTTGCCAACTCCATCAATGTCACTATTACCAGCAATGTTCTGATACCCAGCGCCTCTACGATCGTTCTCACGAATCTGACTGGCCCTCAGTCCTTCTCCTTGGATTCGAATGACGCTCATTTCTCTGGGCTCTCGTTCGGTGTTGGAGGGCAAGTGAATCTGACGACACGCGTTGACATCTTGGCGGGAGAGCCTGTCATCTTCGTCATTTCCTTCGTCAACCCTTGGACGGCTCAAGCTGGGAGGCTCGTCTCGATCGCATGCTTCTCACCCAGTGGTGTCCTCATCATCGCAGCTGTGGACATGAGCCCTGATGATTCGCGTGTCCCACAAAGGAAAGGATCCAAGGCAGGAGATGCCGCACCGCTGAAGGTGCTTGAGCCAGGGTTTGTGCTTGCAGATGTGCAGTCCAATTCTTCGCAACCTGGAGTGAAGATGGCAATCTCTGTGCGAGCAGCATTCAACTTTGACGTCATCGGCGGCTCCAGCCTTTCTCTTTGTTGCATCGCGTCTCAACTGCATGTTGTGGGCATAGAGATAGCTTGGCCTGCGACTCAGAGTTGGTTGCGCTATGCTTTCGGTCTATGCCAAGTGAACGGCTCCTATTGCGTCGGGTTTGACTTGAACACCAGGGCGGTGATTGTTGACTTCATTTCAACACATCCCATGGAAGCTGATCTTGAATTTTCTGTGCTGGTCTTGAATCCCTTGAGCAAGAATTTTGAGCACATCTCATACCTTGACGGGTGTCTGCATGTCTCCCATGTCACACTTCAGCGAGTTGAACGTGCGATCGAAGGGAACCTATTCAGTATCGACGGAATCGCCTTCACAAACTCTGGGGGATTGCATCAATTCTTTTTCGAGATGGTAGATCTGCAACAGTCACAAGTTGTCCTGAGCAATCTGTCTGAACCCTTTCTTGTCTTGCCACACGCTTTGAAGGTCGAACAAGACTCTCCGTACATCTACAACTCGTACACGGGAGAAGGTCCCAATGAAGTTGTCGCCATCAACGTCTCTGTCTTGGATATTGAAGGCAACGTTCTGACAGACCTCAAGTCTGAGGATTCTTTCGTCATAACTGCAAAATTGCTCTACGACAGTGATGACTACACATATGAATACTTGGTGGGTTCAACAGAGCTCGTAGTCGTAGGTGGAACAACCAGATTTTCATTTGGGATCAAGACGGTCGTTGGGACAAGGTTCAAGTTTGAATTTGCTCTAGATAATCTACATGCCGAAACAGGCTTGTTAACAGTCTTGCCGCAATTTATCCACCTTTCCGAGACGTTTCTCTGTCCCATCATCACAGGGGATTATCTTCACTTGCCGGTCGCATCCCTGCACAACGGACGTCAGCAGCTGTCAAACTTGGACGACACGATCTACGTGCATGTGATGGTCAAAACTGGAGGAGAGGAGCTCGGCAGCACTCATATCGCAGGGTCGACTACCTTCCTCCTCCATCACGGGGCCATGGTGCCGAGCTCTGTCAAACTTCTGTCGTCAGCTGGTGCACACTTTGCTCTGACATACCAACTGCGAGTCAACGGCACGACAGACCTCCAAGTCTTGCAGTCCACAGTGTCGGACATCATCAACTCCTCGAGTTCATTCTTCATCCAGCCGAAGAGCATCAAACTGATATCGCCGGTGAAAAGCATCATCTTCGAGGGAGAGCTCCTTGACCGGATGGTCGTCGCTCTCCTCGACGAAGATCAGAACCTGATCAAGGCTGTACAGACCTCTGATGGCTTTCGAGTGAAATTAGAGCTCATGAGAGCACAGGACGTCTACGACAACCTTGTTGGCGAGACTGACCTTATGTTTGTCAACGGTACAGCAGTCTTCCAGAACCTCACAATCCTGCACCTCGCCGGCAGAGAATTCTATTATCGATTCTCTTTCGCCATCGACTCATTTCCTTCAGGATGTCAGTTCCACAATTTGACCGCGATTTCATCCACTTTCACGATCTTTCCATATCAAGTGGAACTCTCGGAATATGCTCGCCCTACGGTCTCCAGCTCGATTGTGGAGGACTTCCTGAATCAGCAGAAGGTATCGTACGAGGGCCAGAACGTAGCTATTGCTCTATTGGATTCACGTGACGTTGTTCTTGCGCCTACTGTCCGGATTTCAGCCTTGGGCAAGGATGCAGCCGTAATCAGTCAGATTGCAACCAGCGATAACTTCCGAGTGAAGCTCATAGTTTACAACTCTGATGGGGACCAGCTCGACGACAACTACGTCCAGCCGTTCGAGGTCTACATGCAACAGGGGCACGCAGACTTCCAGGGGGTCAGGATCTCCCACTCCTCGGGCAATTTGACCTTGAGGTATTTCCTGAAGGACACGCCGTACCTGCCGAGGTTCTTCGTGGATCTTAAGATTGTCATACTTCCCTTCGTGTCGGTCAAGCCGTTCGTCTACTCACAAGTCACTCCTCCCTTTACTTGCGGCCTCGATGTTGGACGATTTTCGCCTCCTCGTTTCCAAGGTAACGCATCCACGTCGGTTCAATCGCTTCTAGTCGGAACAAGGAACGATTCATTCACGACCTTTGCATACCTGAAGCTGCAGAATGCCTCCAGTCTTTCCCAAGTTTATTACACCATTGTCTGCTTTCCTCCATTCAACACAACTTTCTGTCCTGCCGGCTCTCTCTTCTTCCAACGCAAGCTATTGCTAGACAATTCCGTTGAGATGACGGAATTCCTGAGTGAAACACTTGACATCTTGCGATCGACAGATGTTGCTGGAAATTCGTTCGATGGAGCTTTGCCGACTGGATTCTTTGACATCAATCTGCAAGTCAATCACTCGAGGGCATCGATCTCGCGCAAGGTTGAGGACATCCCAGAGCAGCTCACTATACTGGCCAAGAGAGTCACAGAGGGCTCGAAAGACAGTTTCTTGGCTCAACAGAAGTTTGAGGTCCCCAGGAAGACGGAAGCTCCCTCAGTGACATACCAACGAGAGGTTGTCTCAGCTCTTCATGGCAGATTCAAGGCCTGGGACTTCGACCAGAGCTCCCAAGTTTGGCAAGATTCTTCTGGCAACAGGCTCCATGCTTTCGTAGAGGAACAAGGCAACATCAGAGATCATTACCCAGGTCTTGCAGTGCTTGAGAACGTGTCAGGTTACGGCGCTGTTTACCCCATGGCTGCTGTAGAAGGATACGCAGACACAAGCGTGAGGTTCCCTGCTCCCCTTCTGACCTCTGACTCAACCATCTGTTGCGTTGCAAGGCGGAGAGCAGTATCGGGGAATCAGACTGGAATCCTCTACATTCACTACAAAGATTCAGGAGCTTTCGAGAACATCATGGAGGCAGAAGGAAGGTTCGAGATTAACCACACGAATTGGAATGTATTCTGTGGGCAGAACACTGGTGAGAAATATTTCGTGTTATCCAGTATGGGGCAGCGATTCTCGTTCAAGTCGAAGATCGACAGGAATTGGAATGTCAACACTGAAATCTTCATCAACAAATATCGCACGAGCCCTTGGGCTGTGGCAGAGATTGCCGTGTGGCCCCGTGCGTTAGACCCCGCTGAGATTGATGCGATAGTCTTATATTATGAGCAAACCTTGCGAGAGGAAAAGCCTGCTTATGTACCTAAACCCTTCGAATTCATCTTTGACAACAGCTCGAGTTACTGCGGGGCCGTCATGAGGATTCCTTGTGAAACCGTGAATCAGGGACTGTGCTCGTCTGGAAATTTGATCGGGGACAACGTGGATGAGGGCCCAACCCGACTGTGGAGGAAAGACTTCCCAGGGTCGCTTCTAATTCGAGACTATCTGCCTGGCGATGCTCAGATCTTCGTCGCTGATGTGCGAGAGGTTGGGTTCACCGACACTGCCAAAGTACAACATCCACCCGTTCGCATCGGCCGAAATCGAGCGATGCAAGTGCTGGCGGTCAATTTCAGCACGAATAGCATACACATACAACGTGATGTGAACTCTGAGGTAGCGCTGAAGTACGTGCAGTATGTCAAGGTGGATGAGTTGTGCCAGGCCTCCAACAGTGAGGTTATCGAGCTGCGAGTCAACACTGTTAGAGAAGATTCAGAGGTCTTCTATTGGATCGAAGCGCAGAATGGCTCTAGCAATCGCATACAGACGAAGATGGACAAATCTGCCGCAGTCAGTGTCATCCTGACATCGAACACTTCGATCTTCTTTTCTGCGCTTTCACCCAAACAGATCACCAGCAACCCAACCGAGGTCAAGCTCAAGTTGGACCCCTGCAATCGGTTTCCCAAGGGCGTCTGGGACAGGACAGCCTGCAAATGCTATTTCCACTGCCTGTGCAACGATGACCCGAACACAGCCCCGGACAAGTACTGCGTTCCTTACATTCCATACTTCGTATTGTTTGCACAGAATCAGTTTGCCAATCAAACCAACGAGACCAGGACCTTGTACAATAGCCCAGCACTACATGCAAGAACCATGACTGTGAGTGGTTCTTTCTTCTGTTCCAACACTGTGACAATGAAAGGACGAGTCGGTCTGTCTTCTTGTGAAGCAAGTGTTTGGGAAAGTGAAACTTCCATTGCTTGCAAGACGTTGTCAGGATCATTTCAGACTTCGAAAATAGTGATGACTGCAATGATTACCACTGGCTCCTTGACGGAGCTCTTTTCAACAGACCATCCTTCTATATCTCTGGAAAATTTCACAAAGCCGATGAACTTTGCATCCACTGGGTCTCGAACATGGACAGTCATCGGTATAAACTTTGCTCGAGATCACAAGACTTTGTCAACAAGATTCAGTTACACTGCAACTGAAAGTACATCTTGGATATCGGATAGTGCTGCAAAATGTATGGCCCAAACAATACTGCTAGGAAGCAAATCCGTTGTGATCACAAATAGCATCATCACGTATACCATCACGGAGACAATATCTGCGGACTTACCAATGATCTCAACAGTGAATACTGTGGACTTTCTCAACATGCCCACGACGGGGAGCGTGAGGGTACGGGTGCTGGGGAGCGGGCTGGGGCTACAGGACGTGACGGGGACAGGGAGGATAGGCGGGACGGCAAGCGAGGGGACGGAGTGGGAGTCGGACACCTCGATCGTATGTCAGGCCGCAGGGGTCACGGCGGGGAGCAGGAGCGTGGTGATCACAGCAGGGCAGCTGAGCGGGTCGATGACGGAGGCGGTATCAGCGGAGGTAGCGTCAGTATCGTCCGTCAACGTGGCGGACTTTCCCAACATGCCCACGACGGGGAGCGTGAGGGTACGGGTGCTGGGGAGCGGGCTGGGGCTACAGGACGTGACGGGGACAGGGAGGATAGGCGGGACGGCAAGCGAGGGGACGGAGTGGGAGTCGGACACCTCGATCGTATGTCAGGCCGCAGGGGTCACGGCGGGGAGCAGGAGCGTGGTGATCACAGCAGGGCAGCTGAGCGGGTCGATGACGGAGGCGGTATCAGCGGAGGTAGCGTCAGTATCGTCCGTCAACGTGGCTGATATTCATAATCTTCCCACGACGGGGAGCGTGAGGGTACGGGTGCTGGGGAGCGGGCTGGGGCTACAGGACGTGACGGGGACAGGGAGGATAGGCGGGACGGCAAGCGAGGGGACGGAGTGGGAGTCGGACACCTCGATCGTATGCTATGCGAGCGCAGGGATAGGCAAGAGCAAGGGAGTCTCGGTCACGGTCGGAGATCGCGGGGGGTCGACGACGGAGCTGACCTCGTACGACATGAGCATCCACATAGGGCTCAATAACACCAGAAACATCGCAAAGTCTCTTGAATACCGGAGCTTCACCATCGCAGGGTACTACGAGGACGGCGTGGCGTACACAGGCGCAGGGGCTGTAGGGGGAAGCGGGATGGAGTCGAGCGAGTGGGTATCGACCACGTCGATATCTTGCATCGTACCATACGGGGGGGGAGGGAGCAAGCTGGTGACGGTGACGGCAGGGAGCATAGTAGGGAGCACGACCGACGTGTACACGTACGATGTACCAACAGTGCAGTCCGTGAGCAACCAGAGCAACTATGCAGGCACGGACTCCTACACCGTGTTGATCAACGGGTCTTTCGTGGGGCTGGACGTGTACACGCCGGGGCTAGGGCGGATCGGGTCAACGTCATGCGAGGCAACGGAGTGGGAGTCCGAGGAGGAGCTGAGGTGTATGAAGGGCGTCGGAGGGACAGGAGCGAGCCTGAGGTACGTCTTGACGTCGACGATGTTGGTATCGCAGACGCTGACAGAGGCTATGTCTCACGACGCTCCTATGATCATGCGGGACGCGAGCGACGAGCGAGCAAACCTCGCGAGCACAGGGTCCGTGATGCTGACGCTGACTGGGAGCGGGCTGGGGCTACAGGACGTGACGGGGACAGGGAGGATAGGCGGGACGGCAAGCGAGGGGACGGAGTGGGAGTCGGACACCTCGATCGTATGTCAGGCCGCAGGGGTCACGGCGGGGAGCAGGAGCGTGGTGATCACAGCAGGGCAGCTGAGCGGGTCGATGACGGAGGCGGTATCAGCGGAGGTAGCGTCAGTATCGTCCGTCAACGTGGCTGATATTCATAATCTTCCCACGACGGGGAGCGTGAGGGTACGGGTGCTGGGGAGCGGGCTGGGGCTACAGGACGTGACGGGGACAGGGAGGATAGGCGGGACGGCAAGCGAGGGGACGGAGTGGGAGTCGGACACCTCGATCGTATGTCAGGCCGCAGGGGTCACGGCGGGGAGCAGGAGCGTGGTGATCACAGCAGGGCAGCTGAGCGGGTCGATGACGGAGGCGGTATCAGCGGAGGTAGCGTCAGTATCGTCCGTCAACGTGGCGGACTTTCCCAACATGCCCACGACGGGGAGCGTGAGGGTACGGGTGCTGGGGAGCGGGCTGGGGCTACAGGACGTGACGGGGACAGGGAGGATAGGCGGGACGGCAAGCGAGGGGACGGAGTGGGAGTCGGACACCTCGATCGTATGTCAGGCCGCAGGGGTCACGGCGGGGAGCAGGAGCGTGGTGATCACAGCAGGGCAGCTGAGCGGGTCGATGACGGAGGCGGTATCAGCGGAGGTAGCGTCAGTATCGTCCGTCAACGTGGCGGACTTTCCCAACATGCCCACGACGGGGAGCGTGAGGGTACGGGTGCTGGGGAGCGGGCTGGGGCTACAGGACGTGACGGGGACAGGGAGGATAGGCGGGACGGCAAGCGAGGGGACGGAGTGGGAGTCGGACACCTCGATCGTATGCTATGCGAGCGCAGGGATAGGCAAGAGCAAGGGAGTCTCGGTCACGGTCGGAGATCGCGGGGGGTCGACGACGGAGCTGACCTCGTACGACATGAGCATCCACATAGGGCTCAATAACACCAGAAACATCGCAAAGTCTCTTGAATACCGGAGCTTCACCATCGCAGGGTACTACGAGGACGGCGTGGCGTACACAGGCGCAGGGGCTGTAGGGGGAAGCGGGATGGAGTCGAGCGAGTGGGTATCGACCACGTCGATATCTTGCATCGTACCATACGGGGGGGGAGGGAGCAAGCTGGTGACGGTGACGGCAGGGAGCATAGTAGGGAGCACGACCGACGTGTACACGTACGATGTACCAACAGTGCAGTCCGTGAGCAACCAGAGCAACTATGCAGGCACGGACTCCTACACCGTGTTGATCAACGGGTCTTTCGTGGGGCTGGACGTGTACACGCCGGGGCTAGGGCGGATCGGGTCAACGTCATGCGAGGCAACGGAGTGGGAGTCCGAGGAGGAGCTGAGGTGTATGAAGGGCGTCGGAGGGACAGGAGCGAGCCTGAGGTACGTCTTGACGTCGACGATGTTGGTATCGCAGACGCTGACAGAGGCTATGTCTCACGACGCTCCTATGATCATGCGGGACGCGAGCGACGAGCGAGCAAACCTCGCGAGCACAGGGTCCGTGATGCTGACGCTGACTGGGAGCGGGCTGGGGCTACAGGACGTGACGGGGACAGGGAGGATAGGCGGGACGGCAAGCGAGGGGACGGAGTGGGAGTCGGACACCTCGATCGTATGTCAGGCCGCAGGGGTCACGGCGGGGAGCAGGAGCGTGGTGATCACAGCAGGGCAGCTGAGCGGGTCGATGACGGAGGCGGTATCAGCGGAGGTTGCGTCAGTATCGTCCGTCAACGTGGCTGATATTCATAATCTTCCCACGACGGGGAGCGTGAGGGTACGGGTGCTGGGGAGCGGGCTGGGGCTACAGGACGTGACGGGGACAGGGAGGATAGGCGGGACGGCAAGCGAGGGGACGGAGTGGGAGTCGGACACCTCGATCGTATGCTATGCGAGCGCAGGGATAGGCAAGAGCAAGGGAGTCTCGGTCACGGTCGGAGATCGCGGGGGGTCGACGACGGAGCTGACCTCGTACGACATGAGCATCCACATAGGGCTCAATAACACCAGAAACATCGCAAAGTCTCTTGAATACCGGAGCTTCACCATCGCAGGGTACTACGAGGACGGCGTGGCGTACACAGGCGCAGGGGCTGTAGGGGGAAGCGGGATGGAGTCGAGCGAGTGGGTATCGACCACGTCGATATCTTGCATCGTACCATACGGGGGGGGAGGGAGCAAGCTGGTGACGGTGACGGCAGGGAGCATAGTAGGGAGCACGACCGACGTGTACACGTACGATGTACCAACAGTGCAGTCCGTGAGCAACCAGAGCAACTATGCAGGCACGGACTCCTACACCGTGTTGATCAACGGGTCTTTCGTGGGGCTGGACGTGTACACGCCGGGGCTAGGGCGGATCGGGTCAACGTCATGCGAGGCAACGGAGTGGGAGTCCGAGGAGGAGCTGAGGTGTATGAAGGGCGTCGGAGGGACAGGAGCGAGCCTGAGGTACGTCTTGACGTCGACGATGTTGGTATCGCAGACGCTGACAGAGGCTATGTCTCACGACGCTCCTATGATCATGCGGGACGCGAGCGACGAGCGAGCAAACCTCGCGAGCACAGGGTCCGTGATGCTGACGCTGACTGGGAGCGGGCTGGGGCTACAGGACGTGACGGGGACAGGGAGGATAGGCGGGACGGCAAGCGAGGGGACGGAGTGGGAGTCGGACACCTCGATCGTATGCTATGCGAGCGCAGGGATAGGCAAGAGCAAGGGAGTCTCGGTCACGGTCGGAGATCGCGGGGGGTCGACGACGGAGCTGACCTCGTACGACATGAGCATCCACATAGGGCTCAATAACACCAGAAACATCGCAAAGGCTCTTGAATACCGGAGCTTCACCATCGCAGGGTACTACGAGGACGGCGTGGCGTACACAGGCGCAGGGGCTGTAGGGGGAAGCGGGATGGAGTCGAGCGAGTGGGTATCGACCACGTCGATATCTTGCATCGTACCATACGGGGGGGGAGGGAGCAAGCTGGTGACGGTGACGGCAGGGAGCATAGTAGGGAGCACGACCGACGTGTTTACTTTTGACTTTCCAGTGTTGCGATCTGCTGCGAAAATCGACGGAAATTCTTATTTTGTTGTTCTGAATGGGTCTTTCGTGGGGCTGGACGTGTACACGCCGGGGCTAGGGCGGATCGGGTCAACGTCATGCGAGGCAACGGAGTGGGAGTCCGAGGAGGAGCTGAGGTGTATGAAGGGCCAAGGAAGAATCTCGGGTAGTCTTGCTGTTGTTGTCACTTCTCAGTCGGCAGTCAGTAGTCTTACGCAAGCATTTTCGTCGGACTTGATCTCGTTCGTCAATTTCAGTGCGTCAAACTCACCGACTGTAGGTGGTCTCAACGTCTCGCTATATGCAGACACGTTCGGAACACAAGGCTCGCTTGCTTCTAGGATAGGACTCACTTCGAACATGATGACAAACTGGGTCTCTACCTCCGCACTCCAGGTCAAAGTTGAGAGTGGTGTCCTTTCGAACTTGAAGGCCGTCGTGACATCTGAAGTGCTGGCTTCCTCGTCGGCCTTGAAGTTCTCCTACGACATTCCGCAGTTGCTTTCCCTGGAGGCCTCGGGGAGCGACTCTGCCTTGTGGATTGCGGAGAGCAACTCGTCAAGGACGTACACTGGTGGGAACGACCTGACGGTCGTTGGAAGTGGTTTCGGTACGGTGGATTTCACTCCGACTGTTTTAGTAGGAAGCCAGTCGTGCCTGAGCGTTCTATGGCTGGCCGACACCTTTCTGGTCTGCAAGACCCCAGCTGCAAGCTGGAGCTCTGGATCCTGTGCAGACGGATTGTGTGTCTCAAACCAGCCAGTGACCGTCGACTTGCTCCAGCAAGTCTCGAACGAGCCGTGCTCAGACAACCTGGCATGGTCGGACATAGCAGGCAAGACTTGCGTTGACTACACTGCAAACGCCGCGGCCATCAGCAACAAGTACGACTGTGGTTGGAACAAGACCATCACAGTATCCACGGGGACAATCACGGACGGAGATTCCGACTACATCAACAATGCGATATGCCAATGGTACCTCATCCCGAGCGATTCCTTTTCGTGGATGTCTATCATCTTCGATGAATTTGAGACAGAAGCAACTTACGATCGCGTTCAGGTCTACTCCTGTTCTGATGCTTCTTGCTCGAACCCTCAGCTGGAGCTCGAGCTGGACGGAAATCCAACAAACGGCCAGAAGTACAACTGCTCTGGATGCGTCGGCTTACTCGTCACCTTCGATTCAGACTTCTCCACCGTCCTCTCAGGCTTCTTAGCAAGATTTGTGACTTCCAACTCTCCCAGCTGGGCTGTCGACTTGATCAAGGGTAGCTGGCAGGAATGGTGTAGCCTGGATATCGCTTCTATTTACTCGCCCTCCGGGCAGACAGCACGAGACGTTTGCTGCTCCTGCAGAGGCGAGAACTACGTCTATGAATGCCCAGCGGGGTACCACCAAGTCGGATACTACCAGGACGCGTCGAACTCGATCTGTCAAGACATCAACGACTGTGGCATCGATCACGATTGTAACTTGTACAGGTACTACGACAGCGTAGGAGGGAAGTACACTTCACTGCGCGGCGAATGCGTCAACACGGAGGGCAGCTTCAGTTGTGTCTGCACCGGCTCTCACTGCAATGACGTGGCAGTCAAGTCTTCGCAACTTCTTGACCAGACGCTGTTGGACTCCATTGATCCTGGTGCCACAGTTTACCTGCTCAGCGGGAACTTCTCGAGTCCCTGCAACCTGAATCTCAATCAGAATATCAAACTCGTTGGCGCGTCCGATCGGTCGAGCTACATAGTGTGTGACGCCCAGGATACTGTCTTCATCAAAGTCGCCGCAGGCATCACGCTCGACATCGAGTACCTCAACATTGCGTTCAGCTCGGATACCGCTGGGTGTGTGAACCTACTGGATATCTCGGCTACCTACAACCCGATTGACACAAACATTTTATCATGCAACTCTAGCTTAGTTTAAGAGGAGCGTAGTTCAAGTTGTGCAAGATTGTGAATACATCCGAAAGTTGAACTCGGGAAGCCTCGGACTGATAGCCTAATCGTGAGTCAGTGCTAGGACCAAACCCAACTTAACCAATACCTTCACTCGTGACCGTATATTTAGCAACCATTTTCGCACACTGGCAGGCCGCCATACCGGCGAGAAGAGAAAAGACAACCTCATCCTGCCGACTGCTGTCCACGTGATCATGTCAGTGATCGGACCTTCACTTGAGATCAGACCGTGTCACGGGTCACGGCGGTGGCACCGTCCGATCACGCGGCACGGTGCCCGGCCGGGCCGCCGGGTGTCGCACTCAGTCACGGCGGATGGATCACATAACAGGCGTGACGGTCGGACGGTGCCAGTCAGATAGCCCTACTCGGCGAGTTAACAAAACTCTCCTGTAAACCACGACTCTTACACGTTTCGAGGCGGCCACCGTCAGCACGTACTAGCCTAGTAGCAGGTCCTCTCGGCCCTCACTGTTACAACTAAGGTCAATGTGATATCTGCAGTGCAGTGCGTGACTTTGGCACACGGTCCCGGTACAAGTCTAACAAACTTGCCAGTGCTCCGTCACGGTCGGACCGTGACACCCTGACCGTGACTGGCAAGGTTCCGCTGAGGGCCGCGCCGAAGTTCTTCACTGGGCCCCAGCGGTCCGGCGGGCGGCACAGCGGCACGAGGCTGAGTTATCATACCGTGGCATCATAGTATGCTATACGTACTGATTTTTAACTTAACTTTGAGTAAAGAATACTTCAACCGTTGAACCGCTCCGGCCGGTCTCCGAGCCCGGAGTCCCAGTGTGCCGGCCTCAGTGCCGGACTCGTGACTCCCGGGCCAGTCGATGTGACTCATGTCATTAACATAAAATTTGAAAATTACTTAACAAATTTGATTTCGCTGTATTTGGCCTGGTATTTTTCAAAGAACACCAAGCTTTTTGAACGTTTCTCTCAAACTAATAAATGTTTTAAACCGAACACAACTCCCCGAGCAAAACACAACTCCACCGGCCCTGCACCCCTGACTGACCACCCCCCACCCCCTCCTCAGATCTCACACCCCCGTGTCCTCATACCACCCTCGTTTTGGAATGCGCGTCAGGACCACCTACAATCCTTAGGGATTCCTACCCCCTTCTTTTCGACTTTTTTCTACCCCCCTGCAGCTGCAAAAACCGCTCGGTTCATAGATGACCCACCCCTTCATTGCTAAACCGTCCCACTACCCTCAGTTTCCCCGACGGGCGTAACCGTACAATCTACATCGCTACCCCCAATCATTCCACATCACCCCCACCCATAACTTTTTCACCCCCACCCGTCTTTGCACTTTCTTTACTTTAGGTACCCACATTCAACCACCCTCCACCCCTCTTCATCTGAATCTCAAGTACCACTCAGGACCCATCGTTCGACTTATATTTTCAAACTTACTACCCCTACCCCATTTATTATCACCCCCACCCTTCAATTCTAGAGTTCTCCCCTCCCAATTTGAATTCTCTGCCTTCCCGCCCACAGCAGCAGAAGCGACAGGCCATGCAGGTGTTTCGCAGTACTTGTTCTCCTTTTGTTCTCTTTCTCCATCCTCTCCATCATCTCTCGTGTCTAGAATGCGATCGCTTTGAAGGGTTTCTGCAACATGTCATCGTTTTTCTGTGCCCAATGGACCCCCGATGAAGAGTTGAAGTGTATAATCGCACCGCTAACGGCGAAGTGATTTGAAAATGCTCAAGATGAATGTATCTGCTCTCGTAGATTCATGATGCATGTGTGTGCTGGCTCGCTAGTCCAAATACATCCCTTCTTCCAGATGTCTCAATCATGTTGCAGATCTTCGTAAAGACCCTTACCGGCAAGACCATCACCTTGGAAGTGGAGAGCTCCGACACCATTGACATGGTGAAGAGCAAGATCCAGGACAAGGAGGGAATTCCCCCAGACCAGCAGCGCCTTATCTTTGCTGGGAAGCAGCTTGAAGATGGACGTACTCTTGCTGGTAAGGCTATTTCCTCGTCTCTCAAAACATCTCATCCGCTTCCCCTGCAGACTACAACATCCAGAAGGAGAGCACTCTGCATCTGGTTCTTCGCCTTCGTGGAGGTGCCGAGGGCAGGGAAAAGCGCCAGACCAAGCCTGTCGAGAAGTTCACCATCTCCTCCTCCGCTCCCAAGCCAAGGGCCAAGAAGACCGCCACCAAGAAGACCAAGAGCACCATCAAGAAGGCCCCCAAGGCTAAGGCTGCCAAGGGATCGAAATCCGTAAGCCCCAACGCTTCGTTTACAGCACTAGCTGAGAGATACTGCGCAGGACAAGCCCAAGAAGCCTTTGACTGGATACAGTGAGTGATTTCTGTTAGGGAAGTTGAGCTTAACTGTGTTGCAGTGCTGTTCAGCAAGCACATGAGGGCCTCTGTTACCAAGCAGCATCCCAACCACTCCATCACCGAGGTCGCCAAGGAGCTTGGAGCCATGTGGAAGGCTTTGCCTGCCGCCAAGCAGGAGCAATGGAAGGCAGGAAAGGTCCCCAAGTAAGCGCAGTTTCTCTTGCGAGCACTATCATTTCAAGGTGGCTTGTTGCTTGCACTATAGAAGGCAACAGAAGAAAGTGTTTTTATCTAAGAACTATTTCTCCCAAGACATGAAAACTTGGGCTGCTTTTAATTGTAATCTAGAGCAGATAACCAAAATCTAATAAACTCAACAAAAATCTCATCATTGTCCGTGACTGACGCTTGGTTCACTGCACTGTTTGTTTGCATCCCTGATCAATCGCTTTCCTTGCATCATAATAGACTCACGATTACATAAGTCATAGCGACATGTTAATCGCTTTCCTTGCATCATAGTAGACTCACGATTACATAAGTCATAGCGACATGTTTTTTGCCTCACCATTTGGTGCGGTGGCCAAGTCTACTACTACTAGTGTGCATCTGCAAACAGCCATGGTGTTCAAGTGGAATGGTGGTAGCTGCCACACCGGTGGTGGGTCCATGCGAAAAAATGGGGGTACCGAAATTGAGCAAAGATCTCCTGGTACAGTTGATTTTCACCCGGTAGGGCTTTCTTCTCAGGGGTTGTAAAGAAAATTTGTGGGTAGGGGGTAATGAGGAAAAATTGTAAGTTACATACATTGATATTCGTATAGTAATACCATTAGTTAAATATCTATAAGATCTCTGTTGTTCTTGAAAACATTGCAATTGGAGGGTAGGGGTGATGTATGAGGGGGTAGTAATTATAACGGGGGGTATACTGAGGGGGTAGAAGTTATCGGATCGAAGAGACAGACCGCATTATGAAGACTGCGACGACGGTGGCAGCCTTGGCGGGTCTGACGGTGATGGCGGCAATGCTGCTGACGATGACCACGATGAATGGACGAGACGAACTCGTTCAGAAGTATCAGCCGTCTGCAGCAACGACGAGGAAGTTTGCAAAGGGACATTCTGGACATCAGCTCAACAAGGAAGACACCAGGAAAATCCGACATGTCATGAAGCAAGCAAGCATGCTGAAGAAGCAAGGAGCATGGAAGCCAACTCCATACCACGATCTTGTCCAATTCCCTAAGAAGTATGGGTTCAAGAAAAATCTCTTCGTTGGCGGAGCAAAGCACAACATGCACTCCGCTCAGAGCCAGGCGCTTTCTCAGGAGTATAACGACTACGGAAAGCAAGCTCGCGGGTTCTATGTAAAACATCACCTCATGTCTCAGAAGGAGAATGAGTGGGCAAACTCCCTCATGACTGGTAAGGAGAAGTCGCGTGTACAGATGCTTCATCAGAACATTCCAAAGAAGCTCGCATGCGGCCGTGGTGGACCATGCCCGGTTCTTGGAAACTTTCTTCAGAAGAATGGCCTTGTCTCGTCAGCTGAAAGCCAGTGGGCCAAGTCCATGGGGGTTGAGAACGCAGCCGTGAAGGCTCCAGTGACAATGTTGTTTGAATCCGAAGTAGGCTGTTGTTAGTGACTTGTGAATGTGTAGGTTGGCCGCCAGGCCCTCGGGGGCGAAACAAGGGCAGGTGATAGCATGGAATGCTTTTTCAATCTCAAGCTCATGTTCTGCCAGGATGCTAAGCTGGGAGAAGATCTCACCAAGTTTTTGTTCCAAAGCTCTCATTCGGCTGGGTTCTGATGATTGAAATGTTGTACGCGGTACTTGAATTTACGCTCATTCACGTCCTGAGGTAGGACGGCAATGTCACTTCAAAGCTGGCTCCTTTAATTCCTCCTACTTCATCATGTAAAGAACTGATGGTGCTGTGACACCAATATGGGGATGTCCCATGCCTGCTGCTGCTGCTGCTGCTGCATCAGCATCGAAGTCGGTATTGGCGTTGAATGAGTATCCCAAAGTCATATCCTCCACGGTCCCTGCTATCTGCTCACGGTGTGAGGAAAGGTTTCACTCTAGGGCAATCTTCATGTTCAGGTCACCGATTTTCCGTTGATGGGAGGGGCGGGGCCCCGGATGTCATCGAACCTTGTCGTGTCCACCCAATTTGCACTAATGATAAGCGCATGAGATACGGGTTGTGTGCAAAAAGGAGTAGAATTACCTGATTGACGCATACCTATTGAACATACCCTGTCAAGTAGAAAAGTTGTGATGTCAGGAGTTTTGGGGTACAATGAAACATCTGAGATAGACCTGATTGTCCCCAGCATCGCTCATGGGGCTTGCGAAGCATCCGCATTCGTTCTCACGGACCCAGTTCTCTCCGACATTGATCTTGTTGATTTGGGTGGCTCCAAATGACAGTGTGCCAGTCAGTTGTGAAAAATGGTCTTGCGTGTGGCAGAGAAGCTCAAACATGGCGATCTTGCAGCGGAATGATGCTTGTGGCGTCGATGCTAGTGATTCTGAACAGATCGCGAGTGCTCCATGTAACAATGCTGCAAAGCAAAACCGAGTCAACCTTCAATGAGTTTCCGATTTTCTTGGCCTATCTGATTATCTTTCGGCCTTGAATACTTGTAGTGCTTTTTGCTTCATACCTAACGACAAAGGATAAACTGCCATTTTCCACTTCAACTAATGTGATACAACACAGAATCAATGATATCAAATGAACTTCCACAAACATCGTACATTAAGAAAATTATCCTGTGTTGTTGCTCAATCTTAGTTCTAAGCCTGTCGCTCAGGGCCGAGCGCAGCTCTGTCTCGCTGCTCGTCACAACGAGCCATGCCATTTCTGTCTCTTGGTCACGGTTCTCTTGAAAGCTAAATCGGTCAAGTTGACTCACGGCGGTTTCAAGCCGCCGTAACCGTTAAAAATCAGTTCCGCCGCCAGGCTCCTCAAAATGAACGCGGCAGTAGTACATACTCAAAGGTACGGTTTAAAAATCAGTACGAGCAGTAGTAATACTACTCAGCTCCCGGCCCGAAGTTTACTCAAAGTTAAGTAACGAGGGTGTAAATATATAATAACTTTACTAAAAAGTGTCAACATTCGGTAAGTACCCCACCCACCCCCACCCCAAAAGCTGATTTGACTCTTTGTTTACTCCTTTTACCACACAGCAGTACCCCCCCAAAGTTCCATTTTGGTACCACCCACCACCCCTCGATGCGTCCTGACGGTGCCGAGTTACAACCCTACCCTCGAATCAAACCGATATGCTGAAGGAGCGCAACGCAGACATCAGCTGATGGAAGGAACAGCCGACAACTGTTGTACATCGACAAGCTGAACAAGCCTCCTGCTAATCTCACTTGTGTGATCCCCTGAGGTCCAGCTCTGCCAAGGCAAGAGATCCTCTAAGATGCAGGGAGCCGCTGTTGCTTCGGTACTGAGGAACCGGAAGAAGAAGGTGAAGAAGACCGACGAGGAGATAGAGTATCTGATAAGCGATCCGATCGACAACCTGGTCGACGATATCCACGAGGTAGAAGGAGTCCTCCGAGATACCGAGATACAGAAGCTCTTCGGCCTGAGGAGTAGAACCGATCCTGTGGTTCGCCGAGAGATACAGATCGACGGCCTCCTAGAGAAAGTGCGGGAGAAGCTGTCACGCTCCTCGTCGTATGTGAGGCTGTTTGGGACGTCCATCTTCTTCATCGTGTACGTCTCGTTTCTCTTCATGCAGCGAGACATCACATCTTCCTACTACGTCGAGAGCTCTGTCATCGACCTTGTTCTCAGTAATCTTCCTCAGCTTGGCAACGGAGGCTACATGAACTCAGGACTGGGCTCGACGGGCTTTCTCGGCACGTCTGCAGACTTCTACTCCTGGTAGGGATCGTACTATGAGTATCATCGTCGACGTTGACTGTGATCGGCAGGTTCCGGGGAATAGCTCAGGTGGTGTTCAGCGATCCTGTATGTGGAGATGGGAATTGTGATACACCCGACGAGTACCCGGGCTTCGGGCGGTTCGGATGCATCAAGGACTGCGGCAAGTACAAGAACGTCACCACGCTCACTATCACACTGGCAGACATCATCCAGCAAAGCTCGTCAGAGCTCGGCTTCCCTCTCAAAGACTCTGCGCTGGACAGCGATCCGTCAAGGGCGCGATATTACTACAACATTTACAGCGATACGATGGGAGACTTTCTTTTCGAGACCGACACAAACGCAACCCAGCTGACGTTCGAAGTTCCCGACGGAGAGCTTACGTTGGTGCTATACCAGGTCTCGTCTTTAGAGCAAGCGGTGGAGAATCAAGCGGTGCCGTCATTGTTCAGAGTGACATCAAGGTAAGTGAAGGTTGTACAAGAATAGATGAGCTGAGCTTGGCTCGCAGCTCTTTCTCGACTCTCTCAAAACGGAAGTCGGCCATGGAATATGGGAACCATAGAGAAATTTTCAAGAACGCAGTCTTTAATGAGAACGCCTTGAAAACCATGTGTCGATCCCCCACAGACGCGATGCGTACTTTCTGCGACAATTTCAACCCCGAAGGTAGCAAGAGGCATGGCGTGACGGTGAGGGTTCTGACTGAGATCTGGATGAAAGATGTCGGCTACCTGATGACCTCCAAGTACGGGCTGAGCGGCAAGATCGAGCTCAAGGACTCGGTGACGGGTGTGTTGGAGACCATAGTGGAGGTAAGCTTGCCGCTGTTTGGCGTGCTTGTAAGGGTTGTACAGGTCGGGTACTGCAGCATCCTTCCCAACATGAGCGGGAGTCCGTACGCGGCAGCGAACAAGGCGAAGATCATTGAGTCGGGATCCAGCTGCGATGTTTCATCGAGAGCGCGGAGAAGATCTCGAACGGTCAGGAAAAAAGAAGGGGAGGAGGCAAAGAAGGTTGTTGGAGGATCTTCCATCAGATTCTCCCCACCCAAGGACTCGACGGCTTCAAAGCATCGCTCGATGGATAGGAACACAGTCGAGGAGGTCGATGAACGTGCAAGGAGCAAGGGGAAAGAACGTGATCAGCAAGCACACGAGAAGGCTTCGTTGAGAACTGTCTCAAACTGTCCTCACACGGGTCAAACAATCGATGACACAAGTGGTTACGTAACATCGGGATACTCAACATATTCAAGTTTATCAGACTGCTACTGGATCATAGCCCCGCAAGGAGCCACCAACGTGACCCTGACCTTCCAGCTGTTTGAGGTCGAGGATGGCTGGGATTATGTGACTCTGTACTCTTGTTCCAGTCTGGATTGCTTTGACAAGCAGTTGCTAGCAGAGTTGACAGGCTATCTGTACGACATTGATCAGCAAGTGACATCACCAACGGGCATCATGAAGGTTGAGTTCACATCGGATGATTTGTTTGAATGGAGAGGCTTCTGTGCGACGTGGGGGACCGGAGCCGTCTGCCCTACCAACCCAACCCCCCCGATTGTCAGAGCAGTCAAGGAGTACTGGGTCAGTCCCATCCAAGATTACTACGACGCTGTTACTTTTGCCCAAGTCGAGGTGGTTACCTTCTCAGAGTTTACCTACCTGCGGTATGCCCTCTCACCATATGGCGATACCAACCCTACTTGTGACTGCACCAACTGGGAAGACGAGGCCTCTTGCCCAAACACCGTCAAGAATGGCTCCAAGCTTGTGCTGTACAACAAAGACTTAAAATCACCTGGCTACTGGACCATCAATGTCGTCGCTTGCCTTAAATTCCCAGAAGTCACTATGCCAAGCACGAGCTCGTACTACTGGAAAACCTTTGTGAACCCACCTCGTGTAAGCTTTTATTTTGCAGTCAACGTCGCACCTGTCCTCGTGAACGGCTCGTCAGTGCAAGATATCAACATCTCCTTGTGTGGAAACTATTCTGCGCTCGACGAGTGGCAGAAGATCGTTGAGAGCAGGCTCAACGCTTCTCAGGTGCTCCCTCAGCAGATCAGCGTCAACGTCTCTAGGCTCTCGGAGACTGCAGACGTGTCAGGCGAAGTCTTGGCAACCTCCAACGTCCAAGCGGCGACCATCATCAACGTGCTGCTGGATCATCGTAAGGAGATGCAGGAGGCGCTGACGCGGGCTTGTCCGCTCTTGACGGCGTCGCAAGAGATGTCGATCAGCACGAGCTCGATCTTCACCAAGAGCACGAGAGGTGAGGGGCCCGACGCCTCGTCCGTCTTGTCAGTCGCTGACAGCTCGTGTGACAGGTCAGGCCTGCGAGTCGCATTATGATTGCGATACAGGACTTTTCTGCTCCCAGCAGGGCTCGTCGAGCACGGGAGGGTTAGGGACATGTGACCTCTGCAGCTTCTGCAAGGTTGACGCGAGCGACGCGATCGATCTCAGGTGTCCGACCATCACGTGTCCGACCTCGGGGCAGTTCCCCGCGTGCGCGGACACAGCGAAGCTGACGTCAAGCTCCACGTGCGCGAGCGACTATCGTTTCAGCGTGTGGGAGTATCGGGATGCGAGTGAGGGTCCGCCCAAGATCGTCCCGCCGTTCGAGCCCAAGAACCGCGAGATCACTCCCTACAACAGGATCATCGGGGCCATCGTGATCTCGCAGAAGAGGATGAAGCCTGCTGACTGCGCTCAGAGCGTGAACAAGCACGTCCAACTCTACATGGAGTCGGTGAAGAGCATCGTGAGCTGTCCGTCCACGACTCTTGACGACACTCCGTACGGCTACGATCCTTCTTTCATGACCTTCAGCAGCATGTACAACCCGAAGCTTGCTTCAGAGAAATTTTACGCCCCGCTTGAGAGGCACGTGATCAGCTCCGGTGGAGTGACGGAGCTGTCCTTCCCGATCGGCTTCTTTCCGCAGAAGTACGACACCAACTTCTTCGATCGGAACAAGGATGGCTTCATCTCTGAGGCAGAGGCCTCGATCAACATCACAGGCTTCGAGCAAGCCTACAAGGATCCCAAGTACATCATGCCGTCAGAGGGAGACACCTTCAAGCTCTACTTCGACGAGCGTCTCACGCAGATGCTGGCGCAGACCATGATTCAGTTCGCGGAAGACGGCTCCTACATCAATTCGAAGACAGAAGAAGTGCGAGTACAGTTCCTCACCTACAACGCCCCTAAGAACATCTTTGCTCTGCATGAGTTGATCTTCAACTGGCAGCAGACAGGCAGGATACCATGGGACTACCAGGTCAACTCCTTCTCTGTCGACTTCTTTGCCGGGCCGAAAGCAGGGTTGCAGATTTTCCTCTTCGTACTCATCATAGTCTTTCTTCTGATCAACAGCTACATGGAAGTCAGCGAGCTGCTGGGTGAGATCCGCAAGTACAATCTGAGCGGGTACCTGTCGCATCCCTTCAACTGGATCGACTGGACGCACTTCGCCTTCATGTGGGGAACAATCATCACCTGCCTGCTTCACTACCAGGACTGTCGGCGGTTCGAGATGAAAGCCAACTACCCCGTCCTCTTCTACGGGCCCGACTACGGGTCCGCTGCCCGACGGAAAGGCGTCACAATCGTCCAGCCGGGAGCAGACTTCGAGGTTCCTATGATCAAATCAGGCAACGCACAGGCGAGGCATTTCCGTACCGACAACCAAGCTGAGCTGAACTTGCTGATGCTGCTGGAGCAAGCAAGAACCATCTCGGGGTCGATGAGCCTCTACTCTTTCTTCGCTGGAGTCAGCGTCGTTCTGTTCGTGCTGCGCATGCTCAAGTCGCTTGACTTCCAAGAGCGCATGGGCCTTGTCACCCGGACCATCGCACGCGCGTCGAGCGACCTCTGGCACTTCATGTTGTTATTCCTCCTGGTGTTCTACGGCTACTCCGTGGTGGGACACATGCTGTTCGGTCATCAGTACGAGGCGAGTAGAAGAGTGAGGGCGTGTAGGAGGAGCTGACCTGCTATGGCACGACAGGGGATGAGGGACATGTCGACCGCATGCCTGACGCTGTTGATCTTCCTGCTCAGTCTCGACACGACTCAGTTCTACGCATCGGTGAGTGCGAGCAAGCCCAGCGGTCTAGGTAGAGGGCAAGCTGACTGGTGTGATGACAGATGTCGCACGCGGCTCCGGACGGAGCGTTTCACATCTTCCTGTGGTCGTATCTATTCATCGCGTTCTTCATCCTGCTCAACGTGTTTCTCGCCATCTTAGTGGACTCGTACGCCAAGGTCAAGGAAGAGACTGAGGGGACGACCGGGCTGGTGGAGGACTTGCTGGAGACTGTCTGGCATGGACTGAGGCAGGTGCTGAGAACGCAGCAGTTCGTGTCGAACCAGATGCTAGAGCAAGCTCTGATAAGAGAGCGAGAGACTCTGACGTCGAAAGAGAGCCAACGTCGCAGCATCGAGCGCGACCTGGAGGAAGAAAAGATGATTCTGCTTCCCGGTGGCGTGTCTGTTGATACCTACGAGCTTGCTGCTCTTGCTCGACGAGCCTTCGCCAAGGGGTCGGACAAGGTACATCCAGACCATGAGGCGGATGGGGACGATGCTGAGGACTACACGCTGTGTGAAGACGAGATAGTCGCGTCCGCCGACCTGATGAGCCGCTATGGCACGGAGCCATCGGAGATCGCGGACAGGAGGAAGAACGAGCTGATGGAGCTTTATGACATGGAGGGCGTGAGACGACAGATCGCGATGCAGATCAGTCAGCTCAAGATTCTCAACAGCCAAAAGCGCATGTCAGACCTCATGACGAGGATGGGCAAGGAGCTCGTGCCGGCTGCCATCGTCGAGAGCGAGGAGCAGGCGGAGGTAGTCTACACGTCGCCAGCATCGAAGGCTGCGGGAGTGCTGAGGGTGCAGCTGGTAGAAGCGAGGAACCTGCCGCGGATGGACCTGCTCTCGGGCTGTGACGCGTACTGCGTGTTGTTCGTCAACGCGTGCTCGGGGCTGTCTACCTTTGCGTCGGAGGTGATCAACAAGAACGTCAACCCGGTGTGGAAGCAAGACTTCGAGTGGAGGATGACGAGTCAGACCAAGGTTCTGAGCGTCACCTTGTGGGACAAGGATGATGTGAGTGCCGTCGGGAGGCTGGTGGAGGTCGCAGAGAGGTCTGACGGATGCTTGTGCTCAGGTGACGAGCGACGATCTGGTTGGGTCTGTACAAGTAGACCTGCAGCAGCTCCCGGAAGGCGAGCCGCAGGAGCTGACGCTGCCGCTACAGAACCAGAGGCTCTTCAAGAAGCTTCGAGACACTCGGTTGGTGTTGAGGGTGCAAAAGCTGACGGAGGAAGAAGCAAAGGTCAGGGAGAGGCGAGGGGAGGAGAGGCGTGCGACTGACGGGATGTGCGTATGGCAGGAGGAGCATACAAGGCAGGAAGCAGAAGAGGAGACAACGGATCTGATCCATGATATAGAAGGATGAGTACTGGCGGATCTAGTTTCAAAGGAAGAACTACCAGCAATCTTGCCTAGTTCGAAGAATGATCGATGCACGACCTTGCAGACGACAGGTCACATCGCATCCACATCGCTGGCCCGCTGCTGCGGTCTCGGGGCGCGGGTCGGACTCACTGCTGCGCGCATCCGAGTCGCGGAGGATCACCAGGCCACACTGCGACCGTGCTCTGTAGACTTCTGGCCCAACAGTGTGACTGAAGGTCTGCTGATGCTCTGCTCTGGGGCAGTGCCAGTCTGCTGCTGACGAGCGGCCGCTTGCTAGGATGCTGAAAGCTCGAAGAGCTCTGATGTATCCTCACACGAACACCAGCATGATAGCTTTTCGCCAGAAGCAGGAAGCCTGCTCCTTTGTTTCATACGCAGCCAATTGACTTGCCCCTCCTGAGACTTTCGACAAGCTGAGAAATGTTTGTAAGAGATGGAGATCCGTGCCGTGACTTGCACCTTCTTGGAGTCGACGAACCAGCAAGTTCCCTGGAGGTACTTCAAGCGCTTCCAGAATACAATGGAGGAGCTGCGCTCTTGGTTACAGTTCCAGAGGGACGGTAACACTTGGATACCTCGGAGCGATCACATGCATGTGGAGATGAGGGACCTGGAGGAGGAGCAAGACGAGGAGGAGGAGGTCAAACCAGGCAGAACATGAGGAACAAGTCACCGAGATGAATGGAGGGATGTGAAAACCAATAATTGATTCACCGATGTCATACCCGTGATCTGCAGGGAACCTTCAGACACGGGGTTGAAAGGTTTCAAGAGCGATTGCCTTTCAGCTGCTTCACGGCAACGTTGTGCATGCTCTCAACCTGGAAGGACAGAAGTTTGAACAAGCCTCAACATCGAACCCCCAGCGATATCACATGGCGCACCATGAAAGAGTGCTCCTTCGTAAGCGAGGTCACGTCCCTGGGGACTGGCGGTATCTTTGGTATGACTTGGAGGTGAAGTTTCGAGGCCGGAGACCGATCCTTGATCACGATCTGGGTCAAGACTCTGTCAGTGGAAACTGACGTGCTACTCGTCTTAGGTCCTACAAAGCTTTCGCTGTCAAACACCACCGACGCTCTGAGCTCGCCCCGGATGATCTTGGCAAAGTCGTTGTCCCTCGTCGCCTCCGCTCTTGGTTTTGGGGAGCAGGACGAATCTTGCATGGTGCAAGGGAGGACGAGGAAGCAGATGGAGGGGAGGAAGAGGACACTGAGCTGTAAACACACAAGCAAACCTCCCTTCCTGCACCGCATCCTTCGCTATCCTGCCATGCCAAGTGCACGTAACTCATTCATAACGGGTACATACTATTAAAGTAACGGGTATGTAACGTCAAGCGTCATACAGGCATAAGCAGTGGCATGGCGAGCAAGATCATCAGGCGGCTCTTGCAGCAAGGGAGCTTTCTTGGAGCCCCGAGCGCCTCCCGACGACTCGTCTCCTCGATCTTTGAGACTGCTCCAAGTCTCTCTGTCTCCTCCACCCCCCCCCAATGGCGACGAGCCAACGCGAACTCACTTGTATCTGCACACGTTTACCAGCCGCAAGCACATGCCATCGCAGGCTGCCGGGGGAAGAAGCCTCCACTATTCAGGATGATGTCAGGAGGCGCAGAAGGAGAGGACAAGGAAAGATATGCCCAGCGCCTCTCAGCCTGGAAACGAAGGATCTCTCAGAAAGGGGTATACACTTGTCCTCCTTTTCTTCCCCAGCCTATGGGCTGCTCAGCAAACCGCTGTCGTTGACTTTGATTTCCTCTGATAGCCAATCAACTGGCAATCAGTGGGCTTACTAGGATTGGTGGGAGGGGCGTTTGTTATCTACTACAACGAACAAGAACGGAAGAGACTTCTACGTCTTCAAGGTTGACGTGAACCATGAACGCCATGGCTGGAGCTCACTGCTGGTATGCAGAGACAAGGATCGGTCAAGGCTATGGGAAAGCAGATATAGGAGGTCCATTCGTCCTGTTAGATCAGAACGGAAAGGTGATGATACCTCCTGTTGATGCCTTCTTGCGGTGTTCTCCGAAGTGCCGAACTCTTACCATTCACTCGCAGACTCGCTCCGACATGGACTTTCGAGGAAAGCACATGTTCATGTACTTCGGATTCACATACTGTCCGGATATCTGCCCCAACGAAATGATGAGAATGAAACAGATCCTGTCGCTGCTCGGTTTACTCATTCTCTACCACGATGCTGGCATGTGACTGTCTCTGTCTCCTTCAGACAAGATGCACGTTTCCGACAAGATCGTTCCGATTTTCATTACGATCGACCCCGAACGTGATGGTCCCCTCCAGCTGAAAGAGTATCTCTCAGACTGGGACTCGAGAATCGTCGGTGTGCTCAGAAGAGTGACAGCTTTTGTCAGGCGTTGACATTTTTTCTAGGTTTGACAGGAACGCCAGATCAAATCAAAGACGTTTGTCAGAAATATCGAGTTTATCACTCCAAGGTATGCTTGTGATTGGAGGAAGGTAATAGGTAAACATGTGATTCTGTTGTGGTAGTCTACGCTGGGCAATAACCCTGGCGACTACCTAATCGACCACTCTATTCTATTTTACATGCTGGATCCCCAGGTGAATTGTTTCATCCTTCTAACTCTTTGCTTCTTTGTTACTGATCGTTTGCTGTCCAGGGCAACTTTGTAGATTACTTCGGTATGCTCATTCTAGCATCATAAAGGACTTTGCTGATGACCCACTCATCATGAAGGGAAGAGTCTGAGTATCGAAGAAATCGCCATGAAGATCTTCAAGTATGTCTCTGGTACCGCAGATTCATCGACTCACAGGCAAGTTCTCTTCGTTGCTAATTTTCAGGTGCGTTAACAAGGGTTTGCAGCCCCAACTCTGTCGCTTCCAAGAGTATCGATCATCTCCTTCCGCCCCTCAAGGAAGAGTGATCCAGAGATAGATTCCTACCAGAGCGAGCTTGTCACACTTCTTGCCAAACAAGGTCACGCCCAAGTAATAAAATACATTCTTTATTCGCAAAGTCTGCAGCTCCTGATTGTTTACACATTGAAGCTTTCGCCGCATCCACACGATCCCTGGGCCATGATCACTTTGAACCGCTTCCATAGCAGAAGCTCACCTTCGCGTTCGGGTTTTGGAATACAAACTCAGCACGAACTGTGTCCTCCTACGTTGAACAGTTGAGCTCAAGGCATACTTAGATCAACATCCACCCTACCACGAAGTCCATCACGGAGCCAAGAAGATACATGACTGCCTTGGGATCAACATACACTTTGATATCTATGGGAAAACTTAGTAAAACATTGAAGATAAAAGAACCTTTTCAGGAACTCACTGTCTCCAGCCTCCACAACATCATCAAGTTTAGGTGGCTCGTCCACATAGTTCATAGTATATGACAACCCATTGCACCTAAATTGATTCAATGAGATTCGTTGCGATGTATAGAGTAGCTTGTGGAGCAAAAGAGTAGCCAAATCGATCGAGAGAGGGGCAAGAGGGGACTTAACGCACGAAGACCAAAGGAGAAGGTTGGGGGAAAGCAGTAGATTGAATGGGCATCCAACAAGCAATGAAACAGCAAAGAAACGGAGAAGTGATCGTCTTACCCGCGTGTTCTCACACCCAGCCTGACTCCGGCCGGAGAAGGGCTTTTGCTGGCCATAAGTTCGGCAAGACGCTCTTTGGCACGTTCGGTGAGGGTCAGCACAGCCTTGCGAGGTCTTCTGGCTCGAGGTTTGGGCTTTTCATCAGCTGAGGTTCCTTCCATGGAATTTTCAGCTGCTGCAGAGGCAGAGACGCTTAAGAACTTGCACATGCTCATTCCTATGGAGGGCTGGAAAAAGTTGATCGCATTGACGCTCCTCGAAAGTTCTGAGCCCCACCGACTGGTTGCTGCGGCGATCTTCATTCCTGATGGAGCAACGGACCGAGGTGGCAACGCAGTTGACGTAGAAGAAGCTGAAGAGAAGGAAGCTTGCAAGGATGATAAACAAGGAGTAGAGGATGTGGATGAGAACAAGGGGATGGAGGGGATGGAGGTGAGGGAGGACGCAGAGCAGCGCGGGAGCCTCCGCAACAGGAGGAGGCGCGGCATTGTGGATCTGTGTGTGAGCAAAATGAGATGTGGGGTGGAGTATACTTAGGGTGGGTGGGGGTCAGAACAGACCTGGATGAAGTGGGTAGGGGTTACCAATCACCGGTACCTTTCTCTCTATTCATACTACAGAGTGTGGGACAAATAGCACCAACTACCGGTATGTAATATTAGAAGGGGTTTATTGATGTAGCTCAAAAATTGGATCTGGGTGGGTGGTGGAGTCAACAGAGTTGAAGGATTGTGGGTGGTAGGGATACCCTACCCCCTCTTTTAGAATGATTTTCATTTCCGAAGCACCGGTGTGAATCTATTTGAGTCGATTTAGTGGTCAATTGGGGGTGCTCAAATTTGCGGGGGTAGGTGGGGGTTGGAATTATGGCATGGTAGGGTCCTTCTCAAGGTGCCTTCCACCCACATTTTACCCAATGTTGGTAATTGAAATGAGTGGGTAGGGTTATCAGTGTACGGGTCCATGTCTTTCGAAGGGGAAAGGGACATACCGGCAGGGTGGGTGACGAGGAGGTGTGATGATGAATCCAGGGGTGGGGTAATTAAAACAGGGTCGCGGGGGTTAATTATATCACGGGGTGGTGGTGATCATGAGGAAAAGTATGTGAGTATAGCAATATATCATAGAATGATAATCGAGAAATCAAAGTTCTTGAAAGTAAAGAATTGCGAATCTGTACTAGACACAAGCATTTCAAGACAGGTAAGGTAGGGTGGTATCTTGAGGAGGGGTCCCATGGCATGGCCTTTGTGGGGTCTCGAGCAAGCAACCACTACAAGCATCTCTGGGACTGCTTGTAGAGGGGGTGGTGGGGTGGTATCAGAGGTGTGCTTCTCAGCAAGGGGTGATCAATTGAAGTCATTTGGTGGGGTAGACATAGGGAACAAAAGGGGTAGGGGTTGACGTAATAAGGGGTAGGCATTTCATTGTCGACCGTCCCCGACAAAGTCGTGAAGTTTGTCAGGATCGGGTTGGTTCTGCAGGACGAGGACGAGGACGAGGACGAGGACGAGACGGCGTTGTGTGCAAGATGGTAGAGAAACGCATTCGAGAGGAGGTAGAGAAGTGTGCAGAAAAGAATCCGAAGTACACAACAACAAACAAGCAGCAGCGCTTCTTTTGACTTCTAGATTCATCTTTCCTCTCTGGTCAAGTTGCTTGTCCCGGGGAAAGTTGCATCCACCAAGGTCCAGGATCAACTGGTCGCCATGGGGTCAGGCTCGAACCTCGTAGCCAGGGAAGCGTTACCTTCGGTGTGATCCCGCAGATATTGCTCCGCGTCCTTGGCAGACATCTCCCCTGACTCGTGGACCTCGATCCGCTGGGAGGGGATGAGAGGCTCGTTGGGCATATGAGCACAAGACCCTTCACCTGATGCGGCCTATCGTCTGCATCGACCTCCACGGTTTCAAGCTTCCGCAGCAGGCTCAGCCCTCGCAGAACCTGTAGCAAACATCGCCTTCACGGGTAGAGCTGCACCTAGAAACCTTGATCATCCTGACCTTGCCGATGATGACGTTGTCCCCATCGAGCCATGGGGCACCATCGAACGTGATGTAGAACTGACAGCCGTTGGAATCCTTCTGTCCTGTGTTCGCCATACAGACCTGGCACGGGTTGAGGAGAACTCCTTCTAAGAAGCTGCCTGACCTGCCCGAAGTCGATGTGCCGCGATCCAAGGTTTTCGTCCGGGAACATTCCCCCGTAAATCGACTGCACTAGGAGGTGAGCCGAAGGGATTGAGGGGGATGGGAACATTCGCACCTCTATCCCCTCCCCCACCATCGGCCCGTCCCTGTGGATGGGTAAGAATGCACAGCACCTGTCAGGCTGGAGCGGAACCTGTACACCACATCTCCTCCTTGCATGACAAATCCTCTGCACACCCGATGGATGATTGTTCCTGAACCAATCAACAAGTAAGCACATCCTTCCCAGCTGTATCGATTCAAGTAGCACCCTTGTAATGCAGTAGGGTTCCGTTTTCCGACTTTCCTTTCTCACCACTGCACAGGCACCTGGTTCACAAGCATGATTCCAAGTCATTCGCTCTCCCCCGAGCTAGCAACCTGAAATTTTCCACTGCCCTGGGTGCGAGCTTTCTGAAGAGCTGCATCACTATCCTGCTCCTCCATTATCCTTCTCACTCCGCACAGAACCGGATCACCTCCCATCGAGCCCGTTTGCACGCACGTCCAAGAAGCAGTACACGTCTGGCCCATGGCTTACATCCCCTACATCCCGGTACAGCCGCTGGAAAGCATGTACAAAATGAGCATGTACAACACTCCAACCATACTGAAGATCCATACTGATGAATCCTTCTGATTCGACCAAAAGTTTTGGAAGACACGCTTCTGCTTCGATGCTGATTCCTGCTCACCAACAATTTTGAACTTGCCAGGCTCAGCAGGTGACGCACCTTACTACGAAGCACAGAGAACTTCTCCAGTCTTGACTTGAGGGCCAGTGCTTCCTGTTCAGCTCGTGTCAGGGCTGCGATGATGGAAGCTCGTCACGGGTTACCTTGTTGCTTGCGTCCACGCTGAGGATTGCATTCACGTCCTCCCACGCCAAGTTTCTTTGCTCCAGCTCGATCCTCGCGAGCGCTCTCCGCAGGAGCCCCTTGATGTTCATCTCATCTAACTTGAGCGCTTCCCCACAGAGATCAACGACTTGTGCCCACTCCTCTCTGATGGAAAGCATCAGAGCAAACACGTGCTACAGACTTCTATGTACAATTTGACAGATATTGCAGCGAGATTCAGCAGGCACTTCAGCTGCATAAGAAAATTCAATGGAGAGCGATGAGTCCATTGCCGGTCACCTTTAGCTCTTCGCTTTCTATTGTTGTGATGAAACAATTTTCTATCTCATCCAGTGCTTCTTGGTATTCTTGACGAGCGTCTTTGTATTTTCCTGGAATCGGGCCTGAGAAGCAAGAAACCCAACACCCAGGATCCGTATCCTCCTTGTCCTCCTTGCTTGTTTACCCCCCCCCCCCCCCATC